ATTTGCCGACACTTGATGATAACGCAATTATTGTGATGGATAATGCCCCGTACCACTCCAGAAAATTGGAAAAAATTCCAACAATGGCCACCAAAAAGGCAGACATTCAACAGTGGCTTGTCTCAAAGAAGATCGACTTCGACCAAACAATGGTCAAAGCTGAGCTGATAAATATAGTCAAGCGACATAAGTATAAATATGATTTAAAAATTGTTGACGAAATGGCAAAAAACCAAAATAAGACGATTCTCAGGCTGCCTCCCTATCACTGCGAACTGAATCCTATCGAGTTGATTTGGGCCGACATCAAGCAATACGTGGCGTCAAATAACAGCCTGACCTTAAAAAACTGTTTGATGTTGCTTTCGATAGAATTACGCCAGCAAAATGGAGAACATGTATTGACCATGTCCAAGAGAAGGTTGAAACCAAAATGTGGGATATGGACAATATCATTGACACCCAAGTTGAACCCCTTATAATTGACATCAACAATTCTGATGATTCAAGCTCCTCGGAATACAGCATATAAATCGATTGATACCATTAAGACTGACAGTTTAACGGGCTTTTTGGCAAGACAGGTAAGTTCATTATAGACTGCAATCAAAGTGTAAGTTTCTAGTTATTAATGTGGAAATTCCAAATTTATAATTACACAAAATTAGGGTTAATTTAGGAGTTCCAAAGCATAATAGTGCCATTTTGACCTTCCTATTTCTCATGTAAATTTTAATAGCAATCAAACTAACAAACTTTATGGAGTCTGTAATAAACTTTTGTACTACTACTACTACGTCTGTAGTTTCTATTTGCTCAAAAAAATTTGCTCTGCATTGTGAATAGAAGGTTGATTTGTAAATATTATTGGGTATATATGTAAGTTAATAATAAAATATGAACAATTTCAATTGAGATGGTCCACAAGTTTTTTTCGTGTGCGTTTTAGTAACATTTTGCTGAAATGGTGAATACAGAATTTTTTGCACTGATTCCTAATGTCGAAATATGATTAGAAAGGCGTGGTATATTCCTGATAATTTACTATGCTTTTGATAGAATTTACAGCAATACATATCTTGTACGACATTTTTTGATAGATCAGTCACAATAGCTTGATACGGCCCTGTAGCGTCTCCTACGGTTAAGTTCTTCATCACGTGCAATACGGGTGTATATGTTTGATTTAACTTTGTTTCTTCGATGGATACAGTTTAGGGACTTTTAGGGAAATTCTAGGGATTTTTTACCGTTTCAAAAAAAAGATTAATGAATTCCAATCTATATTGCAAAAACATAAACGGACCCTGTTAACATAATTGTTATATAAAACAGTATACAGCTTTGCTAATTACAATGTTGGTTGCACTGTACATCTTCTGTGTGGATCGTGAATCACCGATAAGTTCTCCGCCACCGACGACTGTATTACGCATACCCAGTTCAATATTAAAGTGTGACGCGACGTTTTTGCGTGCGTTTAATGTGAATATTAGGACGGTCAAATTAAAAAAGAATCTTTGTTCAAAGTTTTTAAGTTTAGTTCCTCTTTGTGATGATTTTTTTGATTCCTTTACATTTTTAAAGCCCCACATGGCCCTCAGTCTCGATAAACCGGAAAACATAGTCTCATTAAAAAGTGCATGGAACAAATTTGCTTCTGTTATTGATAGAAACAAAGTTGACCGAGAGTGGAAAAATATTGCTATAAATTTTTTTAGATGAGGCTACATTAAAAGAACATTACTTAAACTTATCTGTAGAAAAGATTAGTGGCAAGTAATGTATTATTTTAAGTTAGATAATTAAGAAGATTCCGTTTTTTAATCTAATAAAGTTTCATTTTTAGATGTAATTTTTAATATATTTTATTTAAACCATATTATAAATTCAATATGTAATACAGAAACAATTGGGGGTGACGAGTAGACAGAAAAAAGAGGGTAGACTTAGAAAATAAAAATCTAGGGAATTCTACAGTATATTCAGATAAGAGATAGACCGGACATAAGCAAGACCACGTGATCATCGAACGCTGTAACATTCTGCAGGGACGTATTAAGAGTCACGCAGTACATATTTTAGATAGTAGATGCTGCTTTGCGTAACTTTGTAGTAAATTAGCACAATTCGATGTGTATACGATTGGTGATGGATATAGGATCATGTGGGGGTGGGGTAAGAAATATCTAATGATGTAAATATACATAAGGGTTTCAAAATTTTCGGTTCGATTTCCAGCTTCGGATGCCGCCTGATGTTTGGTGAAATACAGTCGAATATAATCTCAAAATGGCGTTTAAATTAGCCTAAATTAAAAATAATCGTATATCTCTTAAAATTGCTTTTAGAATATTGATTAGTACATTTTTTGATCTCTAGGTAAATATGTAACCAAATTAAAACGTTCAAAACGTAAAAAAATGTGCATGGTTGAACATCGTCAGAAAGTAGATTCTTGAATAGGTTTTGCCAAAATGGGTTCAAAAATGTCAATAATTAATTAAAAAATACAGTAGCTTTATAATTACTTATAACTTACCGAATTTGATAAACGACATCTTTTATTGGAAAGATGAGCTTGATGAGCTTTCATCATCGCTACTGCCTGAAGCACCAACGTCAATAATGAATGGCTCGACTTGTTCCTCTAAAATATTGTCCAGTTCCCACATTCTCTTTTCAACTTTGTCTTTCACGTGCTTAATACAGTTTTCCCATTTTTGCGCTGTTATTAATTCTAGTGCTTCTTTGAAAAGTCCTTTGAGGTCACAAAATTTAAAAGTTGTATTGTGCTTAGCTATATAATTTTTAACCTCTGCCCATATGAGCTCAATGGGATTGAGCTCGCAATGGTATGGAGGTAAACGGAGCACAGTTTTATTTTGACTTGCTTCCATTTCGTCAATGGCGTATTTTTGATATTCCGCCTTGTGATCCTTGACAATTCTCAATAATTGTACTTTCAGCATTGCTTCTTCAAAGTTGATATTTTTCGAGCGGAGCCAATTTTGAACATCAACTTTCCTTGAAGCCGTTGTTGGGACCTTCTCCATTCTTCGAGAATGATAAGGCGCATTATCCAACACAATTACTGCGTTTTCCTCTAAGTTCGGTAAAATTTTTGAAAACCACTGTTCAAACGATTCGCCATTCATTTCCTCGTGGTAATCTCCAGTTTTCTTAGACTCAAAGCAACAAATCCATCCTCACTGCCAATATGGCAGATAATGAGCCTTTTCCCTTTACCTGGAAATCGAAGTACTAACTGGTGTAGATTTATTTCAATAAGCGAACCTTTTTCAAATGTTTTCATCACATTCAGCGAAAAAACATTGAGACATGAGTATCAGATTGCTATAATTGGGATTATTTAGTCATATTGAAAGAAAGAATATTGAACGTCGTATGATTACTCAGCGCTTCACAATTTAATTTAAAGTTATAAACCTTTAAAAAATGAATGATCAGGAACCTGAAATACGCGCAAATATTAATATTAACAAATTATAACTTTATAAAGCTTAAAGTATGAATTAGAATGATTAGAAATATTAGGAACGGTACACAATATAAAACTTAGTAACTTTTTTTAAGTTTGTAATCGACATATTTTAAGATTATATTTAAAAATTATTGAAATATCGAAAACACATAAAAGCATGGCTTAAAAAAGTTCTAACAAATGAAAATGACAATAGAACATCCACGCATTTTATCGAAAGTTATAAAAGTTTTGTTACTTGTAATATGTTTTATCTGCCCCCTGGAATTAATGTTTAGAACCTTGTTCCCAAGGTTTGAAAAACATCCGATTGTTGTCTATTACTCGTATTTACCTGCTGGATTTTTTAATCCGGTGGACAGTCCATCTAGAAAGGCCCTCCTGGATGAAGTTACAGAATCATCAACCCATACTTTACTTGTAGTGTGTCCTTCGTTTACCCACGTTTCATCAAGGTAATAAATCTTCCTGTTTTGTTTTGTATATTTCCCAATTTTTGTTAAATAATCCCTCCTCCATAGCACAATTTCTTCTCTATCCAGTAGTAAACTATTACGACTCCGTTTTTTCCATTTGAAATTTAAATGCTTCAGTAACGCATGGAAAGTTGATCGTTTGAAATTTGGCAACGTTGTATCTCCATTTACCTCCTGCAGTACTTTATCTATAGTAGGTATTTCATTCCTAAAGAAGAATTCATGCACTTTCCTCCTAATCGCATGCTTATCAGCTTCATCCAATGATTTAACAATACTTTTGCGATGTTTACTGGTCATTGGCTCAGAAAAGGTGTGATTTTTTTTGTATTGTCTTAACACATTAAACACTGATGCGCGACACACCCCAACTTTGTGAGAAACCTTCACAACAATTTCTTTGATGGTTGATGCATCGTTCTCCTCGCGCTCGATCTTATATATATTCAAAATGACCTCTTTCATTTCTGCACTCGGGTGTCTTTTTTTAGAGCGTTTCCTAGGTGGACTACAGGAGTTTACAACTTCATCGGCAGTATCTGTACTACTGGGCATTTTGCGCAAGCAGTTGATAACAATAACAATCAATAACAAGGTATAACAATAACAACGACAAACTCAACAACTTAATAAGATAACAAACGAAAACGTCCAAAGAAATATCAAATTGCAATGATGCACACGACATACGTAACACGTCTGAACCTGAATGTGACTCTGCCTTGATACGACTGCTCTGCCGCTCGGCATAGGCATTTAATTGCGAATTGACCAATGAGGGCTCCTGTTTTACGTCGAGACGGCGGCGTTAGCGTGAAAATCACCCGAACCTTTTGTTTACATCCGGTCTATCTCTTATCTGAATATACTGTAGGAGAAAAAAATAGAATGTTAGGGATTTTTAGCAGAATTCATCTGGCAACACTGTGCTACAGTGATGGCAGAAACCTGCGTTGCAGCGTCGCCACCGTTGCCAGGTTGCCACTCAACGATTGTACGCGAAACGGTTCGGATAGTAATCATTTGGTGCTCTGTTACTGAGCATCTATGAGTAACGAGCAGTCGAGTGACGAATAGTTACTTTTTCAGAGCACCTCTAGTGCTATTGGTGTTTCTTTTTTTCCAACAACCAACAAGTAGTTGAACACGGGTAGATCAGGTGTGCACAGTTTCGATATTCACTTCTTTTAATAGTTCTATGATGTGTGACAAGCCTCTCGTTTTGCACAAAATGTCCCCAAAAGATGACTTGGACGAAATCTATTGGGGTAAAGGGCTAACACCTATAGGTGAAATGATATTGGCTTTACACGACAATCGTATATGTTACTTGTCATTTGGCGGAGAGAAAATCACAAACATTGACATACTGAAAAAAACTTATCCCAAGGCAAACCTTCAAAAAGACGACGACAAGATAGCACCCATGTTGAAAAATATCTTCAACGATGATCCTCAAACTTTTGAGATTATCATCAAAGGCACAGATTTTGAGGTTAAAGTTTGGGAGGAACTCGCAAAGATAAAGAGAGGCACTACAGTCAGTTACCAAGATGTCGCCGTGGCAATTGGGAATCCGAAAGCTGTAAGAGCTGTAGGGACAGCTGTTGGGAATAATCCTGTATCCGTTTTGATACCATGTCACAGAGTGATTAGAAAAGGAGGAGACCTTGGTAAATATGGAGGAGGACTACAGAACAAAGTGAAGCTACTGAGACTTGAAAATGCTATATGAATTGACATTTATGTCTATGGATTTTAAAAATACCTCACAAAAATAGTTTCAGTCTCTATGTAATGTAAAAAAGGAAAGTTGCTTAATTATAAATGCATGTAAATTTGATAATAACGAATCAAAATTCACTTTTGGGCAAGAGGGCCATGTTTTCACCATAGATAACGAAGCGCTTAGATCAGCTTAGCACTGTGTTGCCATTACGTAACTTAAAAAGTGACTTGGTATTGATTTCTAATGAGAGTAGGTATATAGGTTTTATGGAAAAAATGTTACTTTGGAACTAGCTGCCATTCCCTTTCATTTCACTTGTACCAGCTGTGCGTGTTGCCTAGACGTCATGACACTTGAGCCAAACCATTTTGGCTCTGACGTTATGTAATATTTGCTTCCATGCATTTATAGCTTCCATGGCTTAAGCTGGCAATTCTGTACTATAGGTTGTTGTTACATTTATCCATAGGTGGCGTTAATAGCGAATGCACGTGGCGTGGACTAACGAATAGCTAGTACACAAATTGACATTTACCGACGCTATTATGTGAAAAACCTATAAACAAAAAAAAAAACAATAAAATGTCATATTGCAGACTAGGTAGTTTTTAGGGTGCAAATTCTTCATGCCACATTTGCTCGCTATAATCGCTGTGAGCTTCCAACTATGGAGAAATGACTGAACTTCATGCATTGTTGGTTGCAGAGGTTGATTATGTGTATTGGCCTGCATGTGTATAAAATCAGTGATATTTGCTGTGTGAGAAAATTATTACTGAATATGCTGCCGATGAAGTATATCTATTAGCTGTGCCCAATGGATTTTTTGTATGTCGTCTTTTCTGAAGACAGGTTATGGTCAAATTTATAAATTACGATTTTTCCCGTTTCCTAAAATTAGGAATGACGTATCAAACATCAAGCATTTTCGCAATGCCTCGCATCTAGGCGCTGATTTGTATTTGCTATTGACATCGCAAAATAAATTACTATAAAATTTAAATGACTGTTAAATAAAAAATAATGTAATAGCCTTTTCACTTTCATAAATATTCATGTCTGTAGCATATTTTCTCACCTGTTCCTTCACCAACTAGGGATTTTCTTTTCTTATGTCTCCCATTTTTTGAAATTCAGCAAATTTGCATATGTCATTTCCAAAAATAATAAGGAAAAGTCGATGCGCAACCAGTTTCTGGCTTTCTCATTACATCACATCAGAGCCAAGCATATAACTGAAGCATCATTACATTTAGGCAACACGTACAACTACAAAACGAATTCACAAGTGTCCATCAGCTAGTGCTAAGTTAACATCTTGTAGAAGAACTGACATATCGTCACAAAAAACAATATAATGTTAAAAAAACGACAATGTTACTTTTCCAGATAAGTAATACAATACCCGTGTCAGTATCTGCAGAGCTAAATTGGAACTAAGAAAAAAGGTGCCCAAAGTTTGAACCTCTAACTCAGTGTTCTGTGCCCACTTACACCATATGGTTACATGGAGCTAATATGTCTATTGAACCATGCTCAGAGTCCTTCTCACATATTTTCTGAACCTTCATCTAGGACATAGCATATGAAAATCACCAACACTTACCGTATCCATCGTTACAGCCATGTTGCCAAGTATAATCGTAGTAATCACCGTAGAAGTAAAATAAAAACAAACTCCACTTAACTTAGAAAAAAATCGCTTATACTTCGTGGCATCAATCTTCCAAGGAAAGTTCATCAATTAACCTCCTTAAAAATTGTTTGCTAAGAATTTGTATTCTCATAATGCCTTGCAATCATAAGGAAATGGCATCTTCTATCGTAGCAGTTGAGTTGTCGCTTTTGCGCTGGGAGATATTTTTCGCCATCGAACCTTTGTATTTTTTGGTTAATAAATAAATGAATACAAACATGGAAAATAACTTAAATATATTTGCGGTAATAAAAATCATTACAAATATAATACTATTTCCATATAAATTTGGTATTGATATATAAATTTGTATTTACAAAAAAGAACTACATACATAAACAATTACATATTTATAAAGCAGGTGATTGGGACATAATACTTATAAAACTTAGGGTATCTCACTTGATGAAAAAAAATGCGAGAACAATTTATACAAAATTGCATCAATTTTCATAAATATGAAGAATTTTGCCAGATTGGTAACAAAAACTGCTGCTTGAAGTATTTTGATAATAGAATTTCATATATCTGCAAATATCTTTAAATGTAAACGAATATATCTTAACTTCAATCACAATTAATTGATTCATATATAGAATTGAGACTTACAACATAGACAAAAATATATTTCCTATAGAAATAAGATTTCAAATAAACACTGGTTAACTGTTGATTATCTATCAAGGTAATATATTTGAAGGGTCGATTTTTTGTTCAATTTAAACTTTTTATTTGGATTGGTAAAATTTTTGATTTGAGCTAAATGGTTTTAAAGAACAAGAAGAAAAAATATTCACTCTCTGAAGTCGTTTACCTTACTTTTGAAACAGCCTGTACATCACTGAAGAATTGTTTTCTCTTAACTATCAAGGCTAGCTCACATTTTTCTATCTCAAGCGTAAATGGATACACTTTATAACTTAACATCTAGTGCATTCTCTACATCTGAGAATTGTGTCTCTTCTTCCTAACAAATAAGTCTCTGATGCGATGTGACATTTTCGGGGTGTCTTGCATCGTCACAGAACTGGGCCTCGATTGACTGTTGGACCATTCGGACCTCGGCTGACTGGGATTGTAACCATCTAGAAAGTAGAAACGTGTCTCAATTTGAATTTTCCGATAAAATTAGAACAAAAAAAATATGCAGACATTATTAGAACAGTTAGAGAAAGGTTAACTACTAGTGAAGTACATTATATGTTGCTATTCAAAAGGGTCCACTACATTAGCGTTTTGATAATTGATTGTTGAGTTATAAGCAATTCAATATACAAAAACACTCAGCTTTGGCAACAATCTTAAAAGACAGTAAATTTATAGTCTAGGGTTATAATCATGAGGACCTTCAAAATGACACATCACGTGAACCTGCATTCTACTAAAAAAAAATTCCAAGAAACATTACGAATTTCAGCGCGCTTACTTTACCGGTTCAAAAAATAAAGTGGGATGGACCTTCTTGAAAAGCTCTATATGCATATTCAGTCTGGTCCAAAATCACAAATACTTAAACCATTGTGAGATATATAAAATACTTGGTATTATTGGAGGTCAATTCATTTCGCTAAAGCGATCTTTTTTTCCATTGTTTTTGGATCAGACCTTGTGCCTGGAGAAACCCGTATTTATACCAAAAAGTATGTGTTCTACATAGAGGCGTATATGCTATTACCACAATTTCCCTTTATACCAAATTATTGAAGAATTTACAATGCTACTGCTGCCTTACTCTGCTGTGGCCGGTAAAAATATGTGCTGGAAGAATTCTCTTTGTGAAAAAGGTAAGCAATATAAGAAAATAAAGCGAATGCTATACAACTTATTGAATATACAGGGTCTTTCCAAAACATGAGGCAAAACTCGAGGGGTGATTCATTGCACTTATCTATTTCGTCTGGATAGCACTTTTTCTCAAACAATTTGTGATCAGCATTTTATCAAAACACGCTATAGTTCAAACACAAAAGTGATAATTTTTCACACCCTCTACAACAATAGTGCTATTCGGGAAGCGATTTATCAAAAAACTATTTCAAGTGGCGTCCTTTAAGGACAACATTGCCTTAAGATATTCGAAAGAATCAACTCTTGCAACATATTCTACCCTAATACTACATTCCTGCGTTCAAAAAATATCCCAGAAGAAATGAGATGCTGTAGCATCATCTATGACATTTTGTCTCCTCTCCACACTAATAAGAAATCTACTTTGAAAAAGGGTAATGTCTCCTAGATGGCGCTATAATCAACTGTATTAACATATAGTATATATTTGGCTGAAACGCCATCAATGACACCTAACCTGTTTAAGGCAGATTTTTAATTAGCGTGGAGAGGAAAAACAGCTGTGACAAATTCTCGTAAATGACTAAGGTATCCCATTTCATCTCGCATAATCTTTTGGACCCGTTATAGTATTAAATTGGTTTTCTTTAGGTAGAATACGTTAATCAATGCTTCTTGAACGTTTTTACCATGTTTTGGAAATATTCTGAAACGAACTATCTGAAAGAGCCTATTAGATATTAGAGGTTAAACTATAAGAGAGCCTTAAAGGATCAGTAGAGTTAAGAAAGGTGAAAAAAATGTGAAAGGTAAATCAGATTTCCACACGTGAGTGGTTTCAGTTTCATGCTGAACTAACCATAACTATGTCCGCTGGAACCTTCGAGGATATTATAACGTCTGCCTAAATTATTTATTGGCGGCTCTGTCATCGGCAGTGGTGGCGGACTTTCTCCTAAATCGGTTAATTCGTTAGGATATTTCATAGGAAATACGGTCGTGTAAAACCAAAAATAAATTATCTCGATCCATGTTTATGTAAATGTGACAATCAGTAGTTACAAACTTCAACTTTAATCTTTAAAACAGTAACGATACGGAATTTTGTACTAAACCCTATTCAAATCTCATTTACGCCATATCAAAATACGATCTACGAATTCTCATGCTTCTATTCACTTGTCGCCTAGACATTCATGGCCAATAGCAGCAAGATAATCGTGCGCTCCTGGTTGTAAGTGAAATTTAAATAATACAGTACCTACAAATAAACATGGATGAGAAATGCCATCGTTATTATGTTATATGTGAAGAGGTATGTTAAGTGTAATGTTTAGTAAAATTCCACTGTACATCATGCTCAAATTATTCACAGTGAAATGTTACAAGTTATAACTCATCAGATTACCAGTTATATAAGTTATATAAATAATATAAGCAAACTCAAAGTGGTTGATGTGTACAGGGTATCCCAACCGTGCGAGGGCGGGGTATTGCTCCTAAACAAACATTATTTATATTTCTATAGTAGCACAAATAGTCTAAACTTTAGTTATGTTTACTTATAGACAGACACCTCAAAAAAATTAATGTCATATTATAATACAATCTGTAATAATAAAATTACAACACAAAAGCATTTAATTTTTTAGTCTCTTAATGAAGGCCTGATTTTATAGACAGATCGTCATAATCGTTTTCTTGTTTTTTGTATCCATGGATGGTGTGAGGTTTGAATAGAGAAATACCGATTTTTTTTTCAATAAATAGCTACAACGCAAACACCGTTTCAACAAACTTTTAACCGTACATTATAAAAGCTCATGAAAAGGGGTATACAATGGCACAAAAATACGCAGGGTGTAATTTTTTTCGAAACAGTACATTTTGCGTTTTTAACCACCCTGTATTGATCATTGAAAAAATTCCAAATCGAATGTATTAGGCTAAAATTGAATGAAATAAAACATTTTTTATTCAAAATTCACATCTCCACGTGTCAACATAGCTGATATGTAGGATAACAAACTCTTTTCATATAAAATGTTAGTTCAATAACTAATAACCAAAACCCATAAGTGTGTTATAAGAACCTATCCGAATATGTAATAAAAAGTAAGGTACTCTATTTAAGAAAATTCTACTTTGATATGGTATGTCAAAATTGGGTCAACCTGTATAATTGTTAATATTTTTGGAATACTATGAGCAATAGTCCTCGTAAGGTTGGGACACCCTGTATGTGTATAAGGAACTAGAATATAACATCAGTAAGTTCAAACTTTTTCATCAGGATTTGTGGTTAGCTTTGCTATAAAGTATGTTACTACTAATGGAATCAAGTATCATAGGGAGGGCAAATCGTTGTCAATGGCAACACTGGCTCGGTGCTGTCCATCTACAAAGGGTGTGTGATGTTGAGCCAGAGCTTAAAATTTGTCGTTGTGATACTTCAGTTCTGTAATATTAGTAGTAACATAAAGTATAATCGTGTATTCAAAATTTGTTTGAAAGTTTCCAAAACTTACCAATTGTATGACGACTGGAATGTGAAGAAGGCGATACGCTACCATTGGTTGAAGGATCGTGTCTTAACACGACTGAATCTGCAACATCTGGACTTGATGTCCTACTCGACTGGGAACTGATTTCGAAATCATTGGGGTCCTAAGAAAAACAAATGTGTTTTAAGAAAGCATAATTTAATCACTCAAGTCAGCCTAGCAGATGGCAAAATTACAATCTACAATAAATATTAAGCCTAAACCTAATCAGCTGTGTAGTAGATATCAACAAAAGAAAATCAAACTTGACAGCAATCTTTTTATATTCAAATTTTGTTATCAAAAGCAGACTTGAATCAAGCTACAAGCAGAAAACTAAGTAGCAATAAAGATATCTATGATCGACAATTGGATAGCCAACACAAAACGCTCTATGGATTTAAAATATTCGCTGAAAATAAATCGATTCAGATCACTTACGAGCACCATAGATATCAAAGATAATGCCCGTAGTTTTGGCCTTTGAATAATTTTCGCTGGCTGTAGGTACAAGAAACATTTCTTAAATGCTAAAAGTAAATACGAGTCGGATAAGGCGAACTCACCTTTGTGATTTCGAAATGAAGTAGCTGTTGACTTGGAGGTAACTTGGCCCTGAATTTGATTTTGTTGATCCAGTCCATCATGTCAACTTCTGATCCGGAAGAGAAGAGGAATTCTGAGCCGTCTGTAATCACCAATCTGGAAAAAAAAGTTTAAGAATAGACCATACAACCATAAAGAGACAGAAGTTATCTACAATTACTTTTACGAGACTATAAAATCTTGAAATGTTGCTATCCAAACATTTTTAAAATGTCATGTGAGCTCCAAATTAATGGATGCTTAAGGTAACAGCATTAGGTTTCTAAACACAAACTCGTGTTTGCGTAAAATGAAGGTTACCCATATTGTGAGTTCACCTTATAGATCGTGAGTTTGCATGATGCCTCGTAAAATCACGTGACTTGAAATAATGTGATCCTGCCGTTACCTGAAAGTATGTTTCCTTTTCTGATAGTCCTCGGCGACAGTACAGATGGCGTTGTGAATATTCAGAGGCGGACAACTAGCTTTACTGGCAGCAAAATCGTCTTTGTTCTTAAAGAAGCATAACAGCTGCCCACACAGAACAGTGTACGAGGTTTTCCACGTACGGTTTGTAGCGCGTTTTCCGCCCGGTAGAAGGACCTGTTTTCGATCCAGGAATGCTTCGGCTTCAACGGGTGGTAGAATTACATCTAAAATACAAAGAATAATGTAGCACATTGACCTAAAAGTGCAATCGCGAAAGAAGAACTTAAGGTGGTACTTGCGTTTGTTCATAATTCATATGAATGACTGAAATCTTTACATGTTCATGTATGGCATTGGCAAAATGTATTTGCCAAGTTTGAATGGAATCTACCGTTTAGTTCCTGACATAATCCAGATAAAATTTGTCGTTTTCCCGTATACTTTTTATCATATTCAATACCGCGTATAATCGATTTTTGATATCCACCTGAATATTTCGATAATTGCGCGTTCTAAAAAAAATTCTAACCAAAAGTTGAAGGATTTCGAGGGGGCAAAATGATAGTTACCTTGACAATGACCTTCACCACGGCCTTCAAGGTCATTTCAAAGTCAAGTGAATATTCCCCCTTTCACATCGGAATTGAAATTTTATGTAATGATCTTGGTCATTGTCTTGACCATGACTTTCAAGGTCAAATCAAGTCATCAAAAACAATTTGCTCTAGCAAAAATGTTCGATAGCACAGTTGTTAGGTTTTTGGAAGCACCCAACGGTGACTCTGACCATGATCTCTGAAAACAAGTCCTTTGGACACTTTCCAAATGAAACCTTTCACTTTTATACTATAAACGGAAAAGGCAGGACATTTCAAGTTCGAATGTAACTTTGACTTGAAATAACATTTAGACTACCTCGACTTGGACGTAAAGGTCACACCGGACATAAAATTTCCAGCATAAAAACGAGAGGTTTACTCTGGAAATTCCGATGTGAAAACCTTCAACTTATGTTTAAAACTGTTTTTCTAGAATGCGCAATTTTCGAAATATTCAAGTGGGGAGATTGAGATCGCACGCCCTGTGCATTGTTTACATTTTATTTCTCATAGGGTTTTTCAATGTTAGTGGTACTGCATGTGTGAACGTGGAGTATATGTAGTGTGGCAATGTGTCTATAAAGATGTCTTGGTTGTCGTCCACGATAGTTTGGGGCCGCTTGACGCGGCGGGGCTCAAAATACTGTGATTAGCTCTAACATACTGGGTTTGCTTAAAACTTGAGGGGCATCAAAACCTTATCCCAAAATTTGAAAAAGATCCGCTGTCCTGTTTTTCAAATGTTTCAAATTTTAAAAACAATTACAGAAATGTTTGAAAAACTGGCCGTATGAAATTTCAGCAGCATTAAAACGTTAACTGCAGAATGTTGACATTTTTAAACATTTATCGAGATAGCTGAATGCTAAGCGTGGTTCACGTACAGCCCGATTTCGATGTTATTAGGCGTATTATGTGTGGTTCTTTGTCCAGCGGTTAGAGGAAACATGTATCTACGACTGTTGCGCTGTCAAGGACATTTCGTTGATCCGATATTTGACCTACACAGCGTTAACTTCGGACTTACCTGCGTTCTTGTTAGACCTAAACGAGCCCCTTCTTCTAGTGGTGAATGAGGGAGTTCTCTTTGGCGGTTTCAAACTGGGTCCAACTTTCATGCTTTCAGCTCGTTTAATAGATGCGTCTGAGCCTCTTCTCCTTTCGAACATATGCGCCATTGAGTTCGTCTTTCTTAGGCTTGATTGTTTTCCACCAGGTGAGGTTGACATACTGAAAAAAAAACGAAATATAATAAAACCAGCTTTTTTAAATATCCGTCAAATTGAATACAGTGAAATTTCGTTCAATTTATGTATTTAGAATTTTCACCTATAATTTACTGCTTTTATACAGGGTGTCCAAGAAGTCGACGTCAAGCCGGAAACATGGGATAGGCCAAGTCATAATAGTTCTAAGTCGTGTACTTTTCATTTTATGGGCTTTAAAAAAAATCGGATAAATCTAAAAAATGTACACCCTGTAATGTTCTTTTAGTTCACATTACTATAAATTTCATTTTTTTCTTAAACAAAGTGACGAACAGTGTCATCCTACGTAGTGACAGCAAGACAGTAGTGTCACTTTAAATTTACAATGCATGTTTAAACTGCCCTCCTCCAGCAGCAATACAAGCTTGACATCTTAAAAATGATCCGGTTATCAGACTCGTGAATCTTCCGCTATTAACAAATTCAGCTGCTTCCGTTATTCTGTCCCGCAGCTCAGCTAAATTTTGTTGGCTTTGAGTAAGCTTTGTTTTACTATACTCCCTAGTAAAAAAACTCGGATGGATTTAAGTCAGCTGAACTGGCTGGTCACGAAATTTTACCAGTCCGCCCTATTCATCTCGGGTATTCAGCATCAAGATATTCTCTAACTGAATGGGCATACTGCGCCAGGTAGCCGTCTTACTAGTACCACATGTCTCTGTAAATGCTTAGCTTCCTTTAAGTTTGCTAAAAATCACATAAATTTCGCTTAACGTGGCCTTTCTGAATTTTACTTTGTTACCTTGCATCTTCTGCCGGCAGCTGGCACCGCCGTATTGAAAATTTATGTTATGTTATGTTTTCACAATGCCTTAATTTCCAGATTTTTTAAGGAAAATTGCTCTATGAAAAATTAAACAAAAATTCCTACAATTTAATCATTAATCCTTTTTGCGGTATACGGTCGAAATAAAGCTTATTATAAGTCATTTTTTCAATATGGCGGTGCATGCAGCAAAAATACAGAATAACAAAGGTGAAAATCCGGAATAAGAACGAGAAGCGATTTTGGAAGCTTTTTCAAAATATTCCAGGCCGGTAGAACTACCATATCATTGACCAGATGAACGACTTTCCATATTTCGTATTATATTAGAGTAAATTTTGCCGCTACCATATGCCAAAACAGTTAATTATACAAAAAATACAAACCACATAAATAGTAAGAATTTTTCTCTAGTGTACATCTATTATACAGCTATTTTCATCGTAATACCAGTCTGAAATAAGGGAATATTGTCAAACTGCTTATGGCCGCATTTTTTCAAATGTGGAATCGAGAGCAATGGATTCGAGATGTCAAAGTGAACGCACAGCTCATTAGACTATAAGATAGGTTGTGGAAATGCAGGAAGCACACAAGCGCTACCTGGTTTATAAGCAAATTCAAGCTTACCCTTCTCCATTGACAGCTTCGCCATTGACCTTTTGCTCCTCCTGAATGTTGGCATACCTCGGCGATTCGTTCGATTCTTGCCTCCTAAGTTCCGTGATTCTAGCAATTTCCTTCCTCTTTCTCTGCTCCAATTTTTCCTGTTCCAATCTGTCCTTTTCGGCTTTTCTTGCCAAAGCTTCTTGCTTCTTCTGCTGAGCAAATGCTTCTTCTACCAACGTCATGCGTTTTAGAGCATCGAACTTCTCCTCTTGGGCTTTGATGGCCTCCTCAAAATCACGGTGTTTGCGGATCAAGTCTTCAACGTGAAGGATGCTGTTGCCCAGTCTGGAAGATAAAGAAAATTATATAATTATTTACTACACCGTGGCGCACGACAAGTGCGACCGATAGGTACGCGATCCGTTGGCTGAAAATATTGTTTTAAGGGCAAATGTACCGGGAAATATATTATGTATGAAATATGTCCAGTAGGCCCGTAGGATTACCGGGTTTGGAAGTGTATTAATTTACTAACATTAAAAAATTGCGAAAAGAAAAACAAAACAGTGTTTTCTATTCAACTTAAATCATGGTTAAATTTCGTGTAATACAATATGAAGACTGAAAAAATATAATTGAATTCAACAGAAATCAAGTTCTACTGACCTTCCATCTTTAAGCGTTCCTTCCCGTACGGCCAACCAAGTTTCCAGTATGTTCGCCTCGCGTTTGAACAGCTGTACGTCCAAATTCTGTTGATAGATGACATTCCTCTTATTCCATGTGCTATTCAGAAGTTCTATCCTTTGCTCCAAAATTTTTATCTTATCTTCAATTTCCTGTGCAAGGTAGTGTCCTTCTTTGATAAACGCCCTTCCAGTGCCGTAGAACTGGTTAAAAACTGGCAATCTACCGTCGATTTCGGTTTTGTATTCTTTGTGCCTCTCTATCAAAAGTTCCGCTTCAGTACAGTCTTGCGATAACTCTGGCGCAGTTATTTTTGCAAGCATCTCGTTGATCCACGCTCTGAAACAAATACAGGGTCATTAAAAAAACAAACAATAGTCCGTCCAAAGATAACATAACACAGGCTCTCCAAAACGTGCGGTTACCAGGTATACAGGGTGTCATCAATAATTTCCAAATTAACGTTGTGGCGAAACACATAACACTACATATAATTTTTAGGGCAAAATGTGTTAAGATTCTCAAAATTCCGGGCAGATAATCTGGAAGACATCTCTAGCTATGTCTTGCAATTATAACATATTTACTCACAGTAACTCATGGTACTCGTCGAAGTAAGACTGCAACTGTTCAGACTGCTGCAGATAATCTTTTTCTCTCTCTGCCTTCAACTGCAACTGTTCCCAAGCACTAAAAGTATCTTCTCTCTTATCGTCAATATGCTCTTTGGTATCAGGGAACTCAGCAATCAGCCTGTCACCTTCTTGTTCAATGTAATCCACCTAACGAAAAAGATCAAGTCAATCAAACAGGTCTATACGATTAGTCCAAAGTTTTTCCTACGGGTAATACCGTCTAACGTCGGCCCTCCCAAATATCTGACCCACGACGCGTCAGACCCGGCAGTAATGCCAGGACATTTACCAGGACCGGCACAGAGATCAGAACTAGTGACGCATATCGAAAGTACAGGGTGTCTAGTGGGAAAGTTCATATTTCAAATTTGAATTACGCGGCAACCGTATACGCGAGGAAGTGCGGAGAGGTCTTGTACGACACGTTCGGCGTGCGGGTTAGATAGTTACAATGGAACGTTGGACCGGAGCGCAACGTGCTTTTGCTATCGAGGCTTACTTTAAGAGTGGTGACTCATACGCAGCTGCCCTTCGGAAATTTTGTGCACGATACAACATTCGCCGACCAACAGATGCCTCAAGTAAGAACCTATTGAAACAGAGGATTCAGAGGTTCCGTGAAACAGGCTCTACTCTTAGCCAACCCATTCCTGGCCCCACACCTACTGTATCAACCGGAGAAAATGTAGTGATTCGGTCATTGCAAATCCTCGGCGTTCTGTACGGAAGCATTCAGCTGCTTTGGGAAACCCGAGATCAACACTGCGTGGCATAATGAAAAAAAATGGGTTTTCATCTTTACGAAATCCAGTACATGCTTTAAAGTATTACGGAAATCTTGTGCTGAACGGATGTTGAACGTTTTCCCTACGCAGCGCAGACCCGAGAACGTTGTTTTCAGTGTCGAGGCCCATTTTAACTTAGACGGTTATGTGAACAAGCAAAATTGCAGCTACATAGTCCAAAGGTGACTGTTGGCGCGCCATATCCTATGGCGGTATTATTGGGCCGTATTTCTTTGAAGATGAAAACGGACATGCAATGACAGCCAATTCCGAGAGATACAAGGACATGATTGACACTTTTTTTTGCTCCTATTGTAAAAACAGAACATCGATTCAACAGAAACACATGCTTTCAACAGGATGGGCCACTGCCCATGCTTCCAAAGAATCGATGGACACGGTCAAAGCACTTTTTCCTCAAAGTTTTATCGAACTTTGGAGACATTCACTGGCCTCCTAGGTCACCCGACCTCACGGCATGCGATTTTTTTGTGGGGTTATCTAAAGTCAAAAGTGTATTCCAATATAACGTAATCCACGAATACTGGAGGAGTTTAAAGACAAAATTCAGCGAGACCATCACTCCGGATTAGAAGAGTGTGTCCGGAGGGATGGCAAACATTCGGACGAAATGATATTTAAGAAATAAAACCCGCCGAATTTACTGATATGTATGGTAATAAATATTTTCTCTTCATTAAGTTTGTATTTTTTTTCTTAAATCAAAAAGTGAACTTTCGCTCTGGACTTCCTGCATTTCTCTATCGTTTTAAGGGGAAATCTATAATGTGTGAAATATGTCTAATAGGTGCGTATAATTACCAATTTTGGGAGCGTATAAATATACTGACATCAAAAAACTGAGGTACATCCTTTCTCATCGCCATAAAACCGCCCACCTCCCAATTTTTTACCCCCAAAAGAATTTTTCAAAAATTATCAGGATCCTCTGAAACGTCAAGAAACGAAGTTTGAACAATATACTTAATATATTTTGTTTTTGGCCTTGTTCTCCGCCGCCAATTTTCAAAAACTACAAAGCTTCTCCGTGCTATTGGATAACGTTATGTATAAATTTCATCCAATCCGCGCAGATCTTTCCAAGTTATAGACGCCATCTGTTAGAGGACAGATAAACCGACGGAAATGAGTGACATGGTTTTTCGTGATATATTCATCATACGTAGTCGTGCCATAAGTTCTGTCCCATGATAATCTCATGATAAAAATGAAACAAGATAAGATATATTTATATGAAAGATATTATTTATTCGACAACATTTTTAGAATTCATAATCAAACAGTTTTATTCAAAATGTCCCCCCTTGGCCTTCACACACTGCTTCAATCTCGCGGGCCACTCATCTATCACTGCACGCACAGCTTCCAAAGGAATAGCTGCCGCTGATCGGATCAAATCCGCTTTCAGGGACTCGATATTACGGTGGGCTTTGGAGCAGGCCAACTGCTCTAGCAGGTCCCACAACTTGTAGTCTAAAGGATTGAGGTCCGGACTCCCTGAGGGCCAATCTTCCGCAGCAATGAACTCTGGCACATTGCTTTCCAGCCAGCGCTGCGTACTCTTAGCCTTGTGAGCGGGGGCGGAATCCTGCTGGTAGACCCAGTGTTGGTTGGCAAACAATGTACCACTTAAAGGCTTGACGATAGGATCCAGTATGTCGCTCTGATAGTTTGCCGCTTTTGTTTTCACGCCCTGTTTACAGAAATGGAGCTGAGTGACCCCTTCGTAGGACACCCCCCACCAAACCATGACTGACGCAGGGTGGTGGCCTCTCTCAACTCTCGGAATGATCTCCGAAGCTTCCTGTGAACTCCTTGCATACACTTTGTCATTTTGTCGGTTGAATTTTTCTTCTATGGTGAAGATTTTCTCATCCGTGAACAAAATCTTTCGGAATCCCCCAGCTGCGTACCTCTCCAAGAGCTTCTTGGATCTTGTCGCCCTGATGTGTCGCAAGGTGGCCGTAAGTCGCTGGCCCGTACGTCTCCGGTAAGCCCCTAGCCCTAGGTCTTGTTTAATGATGCGCGACATCGTCCGGACAGGAATCTTCATTTCCCTGGATAGGATCTTCTGCTTCCGGAGTGGATTCCTTTGAATCCTGGCTTTTACGGCTTTGATGGCTGCTGGAGTCCTTACTTGACGAGGTCTTCCGCTTCTTGGCCTGTCATCAACAGAGGACGTCTCATTGTACCGCTGAATGGTCCTAGACACAAATTTACGCGATATTTGAAGGCCGCGTAAGAGTTCAAAAATCTTACTAGCACTGTGATTACACTTATGTAAAGCTATCACTGCAATACGGTTCTCTGCCTTGCCCCACTCCATCGTTATGCTTCGAGAGATCAATACAAACTGAGGTATATGTAATTACCCGAAAAGCGCTTAATCAACTGACACCACAATGTAAACAATCGGACAAGTATTAACAGGTCTACACTTGTTTGAAAACGAGGGACAGAACTTATGGCATGACTACGTATATACACTCATTTTCGATATTTTCTCGATTACAATACTTCCTCTCCAGTAGAGCGTGGGAGGTAAAACATACACTGATAAAACAAGATGGCGATTCGGTATAAAGCAAAACTTCCCTCCTCGTTGAATGCAAATACAGATTTTTACAGGCACTTTTTTTCGGCGACATCGGTGACTTTTTTTAAAGAACAGCATAAAAAGCATTGTCATTCTTCGACAACAGAAATTCTAATTCTCAGAAATGGATTTAATTATTATTGACTTTCTCTTACCTTATCTTTGATAGCCTTCATCTCCGTCTCTAAAGCCTGATGCTTTCTAAGGAGTTGTTCAATAGCCTCGCTATCTTGGACATACGTTCCGTAAGAGAGATCTGCCTCTTTTTCCTGTATCCACGAGATAATCTCTTCTGCAGTTCTATCAAAAACGTGGACTTGTTTTGCACCTGCCAATGCATCTTTTCTGGCGTTTGCAAGCTCGACAAGGTCCTCCCAGGTGTTTTGAAGCTCTGTTACTTTTTGTTGAACCTGTAATAAATATACTTTTGTTGACAAATTCAGTCCTCATCAGATAAAAGGCTAACTAACTACTCTGAAGGGTGGCTGTACAAAGTTTCACATTAAAATACAGAAGCTGTGTTCTACTTCATCTCTCCTGTGTTTGACTGTGGAATTTTATACAAAAAAATTTCTATGATGGATGAGTTTCACAGAGTAAAAGTGTCTACATACAATTCACATTTTTTGTTTTGTTTTTTGGCCATACCTCAGAACTATAGCTGCTTTTCGCGTCAATTATAACGTGCCCATTTTCTATACACTGTTGGACCCTGGGCTCGCTATTCAACAGACTTGCATGGAATGTGTCAAAAGCTTGGATCAGGAGTTCAACATGCTCCAGATCATTTCCGTATTCTTCTGAATCAGCTTTATTCATCTGATCTCTCATCCATTCCTGAACCTCGTTGCATTCATGGATGAAACCAAAATACTGTAAGGCTTCCGCTAATCTGACTTCACGTTCTGAGACGAGTTTTCTGAGATCTGCGAAGTCCCTGTCGAGATCGACCTAAAAAATCAAAATATACCATAGAAATATGTATAATCATTAATTAAAGCATTTCCAAAGAAGATCAACTCAATACAAAGTAAGTATGGTTATTTTCGAGCAAGCGTAGCTTTCAATGGCAGTGATACTACCGCTAGGCGACGCTAGTGTAGTTGGAGGTCAGACTGTCACACAAATCGTGTTCCATTGCGTGTTTGACAGCTATGTAGCATATGTATGATTTTGACAAAAAGGTATGTTACTTGATAATGGTGAAATTGCATACCTTAGTAGCTGCAATATTGTTGGCATCAAAATGTTCTCTTGCTACCAAACTATCTGCCATCTTGCCTAGTTTCTGAATGGTGGGTTGGAAGGCCTTCACTTCGATAGATAGTGCCTCTAACTTCCTCTGCAAAGATTGTGCTGAGTCTTCATCTTTTCCAACTTCTTTGGTAGCCAAGAAAGGTCTCTTATCATTGATCCATGCTTCTGCCTCAGACACCTCTTGATAATACTGCAAGAAATCAAATTAAGAAACGTTATATCGGATGCCTAGCACGATTTTCAAAATAGGAAAGATGTAAAAAATGAAAAATTATGAAATCTTACCGTCTGTGCTTCCAGGGAATCCTGCAATCTCAATCTTCTGATGCTTGCTAAATCCCTAACTTGAGCCAGCTTGTTCTTCAAATCGCTGGCTTTGTCATTTATCACAGAAGCCGAAGGGTGGTCCAAACTAGTTAGATATTGAGCCCTTGCTACTAGAGAGGCTACAATAGGTTCTCTCGAAGCCAATTCGGCCTCCAGGGCTTGATGTTTCTTTTGAAGGCTTTGGACAGCCATGAGGCTTGTACCCAAATCCCTAAAATACAAAAAATGGCGTCAAGAGAGATGACTCTGTATTTTCCATGAAACGCTGTCGTCAGTTCATAAATGATTATGTTCGGCCCAAGTTAGCCCTTCTGAGAAAAAAGTTAGCTACTAACATGTATAACAAATCAATCCAACAGGGTCATATAATTAAAATGTGCATCAAGATCAAAGTTCTAAGGTTTGAACAGATTCATCCAATGGTAATCTTGAACATGACTTTGACTATGCAATTCAAGGTTATTTAAAGGTCAAGACAGCTTTTTTAATAAACCTCTACTTTTGACATCGGAAATGTAAAGAGCGGGAAATTTTAAGTTCATATATGTCAATGACCATGACCTTGACTCATAATCTTCATGGGTATTTGAGGGCGTCCAGAAATCGTGAAAGAACAAAATATCTCGAAAAATACGTTTTGCACAGAAAATCTTGTGTAATAAAGCTGTAACGTTTGAAAAGACTCTTATAATGATGACATTGAACGTGACCCTGAATATGACGTTCAAGCTCATTTGAAGGTCAACACAGATGGAAACCCCTATGTTTGACGCGGGAAATAAAAAGAGCAAGACACTTTATGCCAAGTATGTACAGAACCTTGGCTATGACCATCAAGGTCATTTAAAGGACAGTGATGAATTTTTAGCCGAGCAACATCTATATTTAATGCCTGAAATAGAAATAGCGGACAATTTTAAGTTCAAGTATATCCTTGCCAATGAACCTGACCATGACCTTCAAGGTCAGATAGATTTTCACGTAAACATACTTTTTGACGAGGATATTAATAACCAAAATTATTGATTTTGAGTTATTGTTGTATCAAAATGTTGGATAAAAAATGTTCATTGCCAAAGTAACTATTGCATTACTTTGAATATTGCACTTCTTTCTCCAAAATCAATCTCCTTTACACTAATGCAAATTACTTATACTCTACACTATTTCCATGTCAACGAGATCGCCGGTTAATTCTAGTTTTTAATAGAAACACGTTTCCTAGTCTATGCGATGTTTTTCAATTTGATTAGGAAAATTCTTAATTATCTATTTTGTTTCCTTCCGTATATCAAAGAAGTTTGTGTTCTCCAATTTTTTCTGTCTTAAAATTTGTGTCGATTTACCTTGAAGCTGCTAAAGGTTCCCTATCATCTAGCCATTGCAATTCATCGTCGACGTCTCTGGTGAACTGTTGAAGCATTGTAGAGGATTCTAGCATGTCTCTCCTGAGTTGGAGCGGTTCTTTCAGTTGATGGAATCTTGCTATTGCCTTTTGGGCCCGATCTTCTACTTCGTCTGCCATGAAATGTCCGCCGTTCACAAACTGTTCTGCACCTAAAACAATACGTAAATTGTAATAGCAACATGGTTAGAACGATTGTTTACCCCATCTCACCTTCGTTTATAGCTTCACAATTCTCGCTATGCTGCTGAACATCATTCTCCAAAGCAATATGTCTTTTCAACAAATGATTCGCTGTAGCTAAATCATTTCCTACTTCCGCACTTTGTAATTGAGCTTCTACTTCTAGCAACCAGCTTTCAAACTCATCCAGAGACCTGTTGAAGAGCAATGCTTGATACGCTTCATTTAGCCTATCACGTTTCAAGTTTGACAGCTCCAAGAGGTGTTTCCAATCGTTTTCCAATTCATCCAATCGTACAGCTATCTCATTGGATGCGTAGTGGTTGACAGCAATCAGTTCTTTTCCTTCTTCAACGACGTTTTGAATCCGTTCGCCGCTAGCTATGACCTCAGCTTCGAATGTGGTGTGTTTTTGGATTTTGTTCTGGAGATTGGTTGGGTCTCTGTAGTTTTCGTCCGTAGCAATTTGAAGTTTTTGGTTCAGCCAAGTCTCAACGTCGTTAACGTTGCGTAAGAATTGTTGCAATGCCTTCGATTTTTCCAGGATGTCTCTTCGTTCCTTGCACTTTTCCAGAAGCCTGTTCTTTCTGTTGATTATCAGCTTCAATCTGGAAATATGTAGCAGTGTATTACAGAACGTTGTCGGAAAACTTCGGCAATGTTGAAACATGAAAAAGTTCAGTCTTTATGTCTGCCGAAACATTCTACGACTGCTTTTTTGTAAAAATATGTGTCCTGTTCTCAAAGCCATATATATCTGAAAAGTATCTCCTGAAGCTTTTTATTATGGTTTTTTAAAAGGTTCCAAGTCGACTACTATTTTTTTATTAACGATAAACAAACTGACCTACTGGCTAATAAAATGATATTTATTTCAAAAAATGGGTGGGAATTAACGAAAACTTCCAACTTCACTCTTCAGGAGACCACTATTAAACTATTAGCACCAATTTCTTAGCAAAAGCCAGCAAAACCAGTGGAGTGCCTTCACGAACGCAGGGCGTTTCCTAATTAAATGTCAATATTTAACGGGCCATGTTTGGGTTTATTTTGAGGAAAAACTTCATATGAACGTATGTCCTGAACGTCTCAACTTTAGAGATACAAAGTGGTGAAGTTTTCAAAAATAAATCATTTATTAATTATTTTTTTCACCGAAGCAGCCGCGCAGACTGAAGTCTAAATGCCAGGGCACCGCGACTGCTATTGGGATCCCAAAGAAACTTTGTTAATCCGATTTTCGAACTGTCTAAGGTTAGAACTGGGAAAAGCCTCCTCTCGTAGATTGTTCTACAATCTCGATACTCCAGGGTACAAAGGAGCGATCACGTCGGCCAGTTCTGGTTATACGAAGTTCGACACGGTTAGGATTGGAGGCCGAAGTAAGTCGGCATCATCAAGAGAGCTAGATAGCCAACGGCCCACCGGTGCAAAAGGATCCCGAGACTGTCTGTCAGAGAAGAGTCATCGATCAGTCGGACAGCCTTCTTCTTAAGGTCATCGAGCATGGATAATGTCGCCGGGGCAGCAGCACCTCAAACATGACATCAATACTCGAGTCTAGGTATCTGGGCATTGTACAAAGTGAGGAGGTCATGTGGAGAAAAGTACTTCTTATCCCTGCAGAAAGAACGGCTTTTTAGCAGAACACGGCCATTAATCGAAACCGGATGACAGCTAGGACGCTTTTAGTTCGTCAAGGTAGAGCGAGAACCGCCAAGTCTCTCGTCAGAGAACAAGTCGCTGCTAGAGTGATTGTCTTTACAATAAAAGTTATTATTGAAATCCCAAATTATTCCTGAGGAAATTTGATAGCTTGATTTTTTCTATCTGATGCAGGGTTTTTGATTTAAAAAATAACAGCCGTTTCTCCGCATATCACCATGCAAATAAATAGCTTATATTTTTTATAGACCATAAACAGCGCGTCGGACACTAAAAATAGAGACATCAAATCTGCTCATAAATTCTATTTTAAAGAAAGACATGAAGACATTACCGCCCTGTATCTCAAAACCTAAGACTCCCCCTTAAATATTGACATTGAGTTAGGAAACACCATGCATTTTTGAGAGATGTATCGTGAACTATTAAACAGATTTTTAGACCCCACCACATATTATGGAAACTTCGCGGGAACTTTTTTTCATTCCTCAGCATGCCTTCCAATTTTTCTTATAATATTCTGTAACACCCATATTTATAATTCTACAATATTTGAAGGTAAAACGTATGAAAAAATATGTTTCATAAGTTGCTCTGACCTGTTAGATATATCTTCACTGTTTCTGCTGCTCTTCGACATAATCCTATTGGCTTCTTCTTCCAATTCATTCACCTTCACGAGCTGTTTCTCCAACATGACCTCAAAGTCGTTATGCTTCCTCAACAAAGCCTCAACAGCTTTTGGAGTATCCCCAACGTCATCATTATTCAAAAACGCTTCTTTGGCAGCCAACCAGTTGTTCAACTGATTCACTTGCTCTTTGAAATCTTGAATATCATACTCGTGAGTCAATTCCTGCTGATGGTCATCCCAAGCTTTGTGAATGGCATGTTGGAGGTCCTCGAGTTTTTTCACGTTGTCTGTGATTATCGGCTTGTCGTGTTCAGCACAAGTAGTACCGTACCTGATGAGTTGTTTGAAAGCTTCGTCACGCCCGTTGATCTCGGCTTTGAGTTCATTGTGGAGCTCCAATTGAGCCTCAGCTTCGGAAATGCTGTTTGGTTTTCCTTGAGAGTCCATCCTTTTGATAGTTTCATTCACCCATTGCTCAATTTCTTTCACGTCAGCTAAGAATTTTTCTTGAGCATACGCCTTTTGTAACAAATTCCGTCTCTTGTCACTAGTGTCTCTCAGTTTCTTCAACTGTTCTTCAAGATGGACTAGTTTCTTTTCCAAATGCATCGCACTGTCAGGATACTTTTCGCTAAGCATCAAGGCATCTCGTTGGTGTACCTGAACTATCTTATTTTCTATAGCCTGAACCTCGCTTTCTAACCTTTCTTGCTTTCTCAGTAACGCTTCTACAGATGAAAGATCTTTTCCTACGTCTTCCGAATCCATAGCTAGGCATTTCTCTGCGATTCTGTCTGATGTATCAGCTACATCTCTGTCGAACAAATGTATTTCAGAAGCTGCTGAAAGTTTGCTTCTGTAGTCGTTGAGCGCCCCTTGCAAGCTATGCCACTTCTTGATGAATTTTTCTCCACGCTCTTGTACACCAGGATGCCCCTGTTTTGCCAGTTTATTCGCCAGTTGCGTAATAGTCTTTATTCTAGTATCGTCGATCTTCATGTCGCTATCCACATCGTCTAATTTCCTTTGCAGCATTTGACAATGTTCGTAGTCTTTGCCCGTTTCTCCGGCTTGTATCATAACTTCCTTGTCTCTGATCCAAGTCTCGATTTTGTCTAATTGATTGTTGAATTCGAGAATATCCTGGGCTTCCTCCAAGCCTTTGCCTCTGAGATTTACTTCGTTGATCAAGTGTTTCCAAGCCTTGTCTAGCTCGAACAATTGGTCTGCTATATCCTGTAAAGAAACAAGATTTTTCAATTGAGTGGTTGCGGGGTATACATTTATTATGAGTTAATTTGATTTCTTTTATGTATTTTATAAGCAGCAGCGGTAGACTATTCGGTGTCCTAATCAGTCGCCGTGCGCCGCGCAGGTTCGGATTCCGTACCGAGAGAAATTTTTATCTCTTCAATTTGAGTTATTCGATTAATAGTGCTTGGACAGTTGACTTTTTTTTTTCTTTTTCCGAGATGCTGATCTGAGATATATAACTGAATGAAAATAAACTATATATAACAAATACAGAATGACATACTTGTGAAGCTTTGTGATTTTTCCTGATCAAAGTCTCCCCAACAGCCTTGATTTCCAGAATCCGTCCAGAGTTGGCAGCGATCTCAGCCTGGAAGGCTTGATGCTTCTGCAATTTTTTTATTTTATCCTCCAAACTTGTCACGTCTCCCATTTTCTCCTCATTCTCAAGCTTTTTCTGCTTATCCGCAATCCACGCTTGAGCTTCAGCCACGTCTCTGTTAAATTCTGCATACAGCAAACTGTTTGCTAGCAGTTGTTTTTTCTGAGAACACATCTGATGAACCTTCCTCCGCTTAGATTGGATTTCAGCGAGTTTGTTAGTGATCTGTTCGCTATCAAAGTGATCTTGCTTCACTAGCTTGTTGCCAGAGGCTGACAAACCTTCTAAGTTTTTGTCCTGAAAATTCAAAATACACATTATTTGTTTTTGTCCACATAATTTGGGACACATTGAAAATGCATGGAGGCTTCAAAGGCAGATATTGTCTAAATGAGAAAATAATTTACCTGTAAGTGAACCAGCTTCTCGAAGGCTTCATGTTTCTTAACTTGGTTAGTCACTTCATCTACAGTTTCTCCAAAATCAGTGTTATTTAAAGCTGCTTCTTGGGCGTTAGTTGCATCTTCGATAAGTTTTGCTTCTCGTAAGAATATGTGAAGATCACAGAGTTGGTCAAGATGTATCATTTTTAGTTGCCAAGCTGTATGAAGCCGTTCTCGTTCTTTGATCAGATTTTTGTAGCGGTCGACGGCTTCAGTAGCTGCATAGTGGCCTAAAACATAAAAAATACGTTTAATGTATATTTACATAGAGCCGAAACACAATCTAACTTGCAGTCGTTCTTGATTAAAATTAGTATAGTATCGAATTCTATGCAGCAAGAATGCTGGATTGGCGAATTCTTCCCCGATCCTTTTGATGTACATTCCGCATTTTGAATTAATCAATAATCAACGAGTGTTCAGGTAATAATACTTCAATTTAAGCGATTTTGGAATATTTTACAGACTAGTTCTTACCAGTTTGTTCCATAGCTGCCAAGTTTTCGGCGACCTCTTGGAAGTTAGCTTCTCTAGCTTCAATTTCACCTTTGAGAGCTTCATGCTCACTCTTTAGCATTTGAGCCCTAGCTGCACTACGAACATTTTCTTCTGCATTCATTGCTAGTCTGAGACTGGTAGCCCAGTTTGTCAAGTCTCTAACCTAATGCAAAAGCAAGGTATTAGTAAAACAAGTACATGTGATCTGGTCTGCTTTCTTTTGCTACCAAGATCATTTTAGAGACAGACAATTATTTTGATCCATTTCAAGGAGTGATGCCTTAAAAATTCTACCAACATTTTTCTGCATACCTGAGTAAGGAACTTCTGCAGATCAACGCTAGCTTGCAGCTGATCTCTCCTCAAGTCCGCTCTTTCCTTGAGCCCATTCCACGCGTCAACCACCAATTCTTGCTGATGCTGAATGTTGGTCTTGTTGCTGGGATAGATCTTCTGCAGTTTCGACGCATCTTCAACTAATAGCTGCAACTGCGCTTCCAAAACGACCAGTTCGTTTTCGAAAGCCTCATGTTTTCTGAGCAGGGCTAGAGCAGAATTCAAGTCTCGCCCTAGGTCGATACCCAAGGCAGCATTTTTCTCTTGAATTCTTTGCAACGCGTCAGCCACGTCTCTGTGGAATCTGTGAATCTCTTCAGCAGCATCCAGACGCTGTTCCCTTGTGCTTATTTGGTCGTGCAAGTTATCCCAAGCTTGTCTGAAAAGTCGGAACTATCATTTTCATTCGGATTCCACATGTCAATCTCAGTATTATGGTAGTTATTTATACATGGTGTCCCATGTCAGTCTTCCCACCTAAGTATTTCAAAAATTACACCACTTGGATACAAAGTTTCAAACAAAAGAGTTTCGAGGGGACAACACGAATGAGACATTGACCATAAGTTTGCATGCGACCCTTAAGGGCTTTTCAAGGTCAAGTGAATATTTTCAAATAGAACCACTTTTTTACATCGTACATGGAAGGGAAGAAATTTTACGTTCAATTGCGACCTTGACAATGGCCATCACCGTGACCTAACCCCATTTCAAAACACTGAAAAAAAATTGCTCCAGCAGAAACGTTCGAGAGCACAATTGTGACCTTTGTGGGGGTCACCCAAACATGATTCTGACCAATGACCTTGACTATCACCTTCAAGGTCATGTCAAAATTGCGCCCATTAAACATAAAATTTCTTGCTTTCTACAAGACACAGCGGGCTTTAAAATGAAAATGGACGTAAGTCTTTATTACTAACCAGTGTACGACCACCTGAAGTAAAAAATCTAGAATAACTTGCAAGTATAATTAAGAATAGATACACTGGACTATTGTATTACTGATACTTGTTGAACATAAGGTAATTCAAACACAGAGGGCACTAAAGCGTCTTTACTGCCCTACGGCATAAAGGAATCCGTGGGCTGAAAAGAGTGACTTAGCGCCCAAAAATACATATTATCGTCCAGTCGTAGATAAAATTTCATTAATACATGCAAAACTAAGAATCATATGTAACACATAACAGTGGATTAAACCACAGTAAAAGAAAGATGTGATTACCTTATAGAATGATGCTTCTCCAAAACCTCTTGACAAGCTTCCGAAGGTGGTTCTTGTCTAAAACAGGTTAGTGCCAACACCAGGTGAAAAATGTGCCATTTTAACACAAAAAATCACGGTAAATCAGAAAGAGTGAGGTGAATTATTGAGTAACGATAAAAACACAATACCATTATTTACAGAAAGAGATGTAGTCATACCATGTCATAGTAAACTGGTATAATCTTGAGTGTTACATGATGGAGAAAAATAATACTAATATTAGTCAATTTAGTATTTTTCCGTTCAGTTTGTTAGGTTACAATCCTTCAACAGAAAGATAAAAATTCACCACTTCATTTATAGCATTGATTAACATATTCTCCTAGAAGATGTGTATTTGGATGTTCACTTACAATTCCCCTCACAGCTATTACTGAAAGGACCGCAGTAATTTCTTTATAAGTGATTAAACCAGACTACATTCTCCTTTCAAATAAAATTGTTTGTTCTGAGAAATGACAATAACCCTACAAGAAAAAGACCACCGTTTAACCTCCTTCGTTCTTATTCCTGGGATTTAGTATTCCTAAAATTGTCAACGACGGAAAGTCCAAGAGGCGGCAACATTCAGACCTAAAGACGGTGGTTTACAGGGTATATAGTGGTTGGTGTATTTCACTTGGATTGGGTATCTTCTGTGGACTATTCCAATCAATAGTTGTCATTCGGTTGATTTTTTAGAATGGTTCCAAACATATACTAGTTCCAGTAAGAACGAGAAACACAGTCCACAAGGTACATAGTTGTATGCAAAGTGGTTGGCGTTTTCTAATTGGGTTGGGTATCTTCTGATGGAATAAGTTAATCAATGGTTGTAATTTGGTTGATTTTTCATAATAGTTCCAAAAATATACCAGTTCCAGTAAGAACGAGAAACACACAGTATAAGATGAAGATTCACTTACTCCAATTGCAACTGTTTCTTTTGAATGTCCGAACTATAAGGACTGTCGTTGGATATCAATTTCTGAGCTAAATCCTCACACTGCTTGTATCTTTCGGATCCAGCTTCGATTCTATGTTTGAAATCGTCAAACTTGGCCTTCAAAAGCTGAAATAAAGAACATTGAAGCACATCATTCAATTCCTGAGAACCTACTTTTAACCTACCAAAAGATGTTCATAATCCTGCCCATAATCCTCAGACGAAGCTTGCTGTAGATTATCAGCTATCCAAGATTCTAACTCTGCAGACTCGGCAAAGTATTCATGTCTGAACAGCGACTCCATAAGGCGATGTTGTCTAATGGCTGCCTTTCTTTGTAGGGATCTCACCAAGTGTTCCAGGCCAGCTTGCCTTTGACTTATCAGCTTGGAATCTGGATGTCCAGATTTGATCATAGCTTGTGCTCCATGACCCATCTCGGAGATTATGTTGTTGTAGGTGTCCAGTTCGAGTTCCAAAGCCTGAAATTTACCAAATGTAAGAGATATTATACTACAGCCAAATCGAAAGTATATTACCTTATGTTTTGTAAGCAGTTTTGTAGCAGAGTCTCTGTCCCTACCATAATCAGAGCTGGATAGGATGTTAGCTTTCTCGTTGAGCCACGATTCGACTTCATTTGCTTCAAAGAAATATTGCTGAGCTTTAAGGGAAACGTCTAACTTGTTAGCTCTTCGGGCTGCTTTTTCTTTCAGGTCATCCCACGAAGATCGCAATGTGGAACATAGGTCACCAATCTAAGTGAAAAGGTAAAATATATCATGAAAAATGTGGAACTTTTATAATAGACAAAAAGTGTTAAGGAAAAGCAATCTCACCTCTATCATTTTATCCCTTGATATATACTATAGAAAAAATTAAAAATGAATCTACTAGACGAGAGAGTAGAAAAAGTATCTCAAGTTAGATAAAACGTAAGGTACCTGTTTTCTTTCAGGATGCAGATTGTCAATCAAAGCTTGTCCTGTTTCTAAAGTTTTATCTATAACTGGTTGATGACCCACGATCTCTGCCTCTAGTTTCTTGTGTTTTTTATGCAGACTTTGAGCTTGATGCAGATTTTGTCCTACTTCATCTGAGCTGGCTAATGGCATATGCTCCTTTACCCATTGTAGTTCAGCATCCAACTCGAAACTAAAAAAGATAAATCAAGTTAGCACAAAAATATGATGCAAATTACGTCACGTAGATTTTCACAAGCATCACTATGTAGAAAACTGCATACCCAAATTTATAGAATTCCAGTGCTTCCTCTAGAGCCGCTTTCCTCTTTTCAGCAGGTTTATACATCTCCTCAACCCTCTGTTTGCTAGCCAACGCGTTTTCCCGTATCGCTTCAGAGTCAAAATGCCCTTCATCACTTAAATTGTGGCTTTGAACGACCAAGTCTTCTACACGTTCTGCCAAATGCGACAGTTCTGTTTCGATTGCATCGTGACGTTTCAAGAGTTCTCTGCATGACCTGGAATCAGATTTTTGAAATAGTAGAGAATGTAAGGTTCAAATCCTCCGAAAAAAAAATACAGACAAAAAATAATCTACCTTAGATCCGTGCCCATATTCGTGCTTTTCAAGCCCTCCTCAATTTCATCTAACTTGTGCTTAACATCTTCAATGGCGTTATTATAGCCATGTTGAGTAACAGCTTGCCTCAATCTTCTTCCTTTCTCCAGTGAAATTCCTACTAGGTTGTGCCATTCGTTATTCAACTCCTGAAACACATCAATATACAGAGGTGTTAGCAAAATACCTGAACTAAATTTAAAGCTACGTCGGGCAATTCTTTGTCTTTGAAATACATCAGTTTCAAATATTCTTGAAAACTTGCTTCATCTGGAAAACATCTTTTGAAATTTAGGAGCGACATACAATCTGACAAGAATTAAATAAAATGCTTTATTAAAACAGCAACTTAAGTCGCTTGATTTTTTACATATGATAGGTTTGGGATTTTTTGAAGCGTCTTTCTTTTACGATTTATTTTAGGTACTAAATTTCAACAAACTCCAATAAAATCGGCTAAAAGGCTACGAGGATTGCCTTCAGAAAATTCAAATATGGAGCTGGTCAAATATATCAAAAATGTACTAACTAACTGTAATTTTGTTTAGTTTGTAAAAATATCAGATTTAGCCCCCAATGACTTTTTCCCGCAACATCGGTTCTCGCTTAAATGCATGCCTATTTTGAGGGCCCTCCGAGATCGTACTTTTCCGACAGCATAAAAAAGTTGAAGAAATGCCTGGAAAACGAATTTCCAAAACAAAAGCCAGACTCTTTATTTTGAAAATGCAGTATTTCCGGGCCCGTTTCCATTAGCATCTTTGAACCCATATTTTTGGTAATATCTTTGTTATTTTTGGTAGTAGTATTTTATACCCTAGAAATAGTGCCACGCCTTTCTGATACACCCTGCGGATTATCACGGCAGAGATAAACATCTCAAAACTTTTAGCAGAAATGACATCGATTACAATGTCTCTCAAACGCTACCTGTAATGTCTTGGCCACATCATCCTTTCTGTAGCTATCTTGAGCAATCAGAGCCATACCAAGCTTGTTCACAGTCCTCAGCTGTCCTTCGTTGGCCCTTAGCTCCCTCTCAAACGCCTCATGTTTCTGCAACTTTCTCTCTAAGTTCGACAAATCCCTGTAGCTTTCGTCCGAAGCTGTTTTCAGTTTTTCAGCCATCCATGTCCGGAGATCGTGGACTTCCGCGCAAAATTCTTGGTAGTTTTTAGATGCCTCCAAGACGTTAGCTCTCTGTTGGGATGCTTCTTTCACAGCTTGGCGTCTTTGAAGCACCTGGTTGCGCTTATCATCTATGCTAAAATGTTAATAACACAGTCAAGAACTGTGCAACGACAGCATATTTAACACTTTACAGCAATGTGACTCCATCAGTTGCGTAGCTGAGGGGACTCAAATAAAAATTTATTGAGGGGCTCCACCTAAATGTGTGGAATCCCGAATGGGGTAACATTCGGGGTAATGATTTTCCCAAAAGAAATTGAAATGCTTGAATCGAATAATATGAATAAATAATCAGGTAATGACTAAGTATTATATACAGGGTGTCCGCAAAGTTGGGGTTTTCCTTTTCAGAAACAACTACCCTTGAAATAACAAAGGTAATGTGTAGTGAAACGAGGGCGACCAAGTAAAAAAATAAAGGAAAAAGTACTCACACTCTAGTTGACGAGAAGGGTTAAGTACGTCTCTGCCCGAAATCATACCGCTCCAACAGAAAATGAAATCAGCAGACGCTGGCGGTGGTGCAGACCACGAACAGAGGTAACAAATATGATTCAAAAACACAGGTGCGTGCACGACGTAGCCAAGCATCGGTGCAGGCTTTGAGAATGGAGTACCTCCCCCGAATGAAAGCACCAGCTTGTTCAATTCTTAGACGAACTTCGTCAACTGTATGCACTTCAGTTTTGTACACTAAGCGTTTCATTTCTCCCCAAAGAAAAAAATCACATGGTGTTAAGTCTGGAGATCGCGGAGGCCACGCTATGGGTCCATTACGTCCGATCCACCTATTCGGAAATAATTCATTCAAAAACTCACGCACTTCGCGTCTAAAATGGGGAGGTGCACCATCGTGCAGAAACCACATTGATTGTCTTACACTTAATGGCACATTTTCTAACAAGGAAGGCAAAATGTTGGGTAAAAAGTCTAGGTATTGCATCCCGTCCAATCGGTTTGGGAGAATAAATGGTCCAATGAGCAAAATGTTTGTTGAAAATGTTGCCCGGCGGACAGCGTGCGGATTTTCTACTGACCAAATATGAGTGTTGCGAAAGTTATTCACCCCATTACGCGTGAACGTAGATTCGTCTGTCACCAATATGCACTTCAAAAAGTCTGGATTATTGTCATGTTGATGCAACAACCACTCACAAAACCGCACTCTTGCTGGAAAATCGTCAGGTTGAAGGGCTTGCACACGTTGGACGTGAAACGGATATAGCCCCTCTTCACGCAGCGTTTGCCACACTTTAGTTTTTGATACTTGCACTTCTCTAGCCACGTCTCTAGTGCTTGTTGAGGGATTCTCGTCTACGCAATTACCTCTACACGCGTGACCGTAACCGTCGGTTGAAGGTTGCATACTGACCTGACACACTGACCCCGACCCAGTTCTGTCGTCGGGTTGAGCCAGTGACCTTGTACCACTCGGTGATGTCGCGGATCGCGGCTACAGGACGGTATTCAGATATTTTTGATGTTGCAGAGTCCTTTATCTCGGTTCCCTTAAAGCATTGGTGTATATGGTACTAAGAAAAAGTGCTTATGTTTTCCTTTACACGTCGTGTAAAGGAAAACCCCAACTTTGCGGACACCCTGTATATATATTTATTTTAATGGCTACTAAGTCTTTCGAAAAACGTGCGCAAGCATTTTTGGTAGAAAATTGTATTATTATGTTAATTACTTTGTATCGATTTTATCGTAAGGTAAGAAGTTTTTTCTATGTTTTGATGATGACAGCAAGACGAAGACTCATACCACTTATTTTAGTAATCTCGGAAACAGCTTTAGTGATTTGAATGAAAATCGAGGTAAAGCATGTTGTGAGGTCATATATGTAATGCTTCTTGATTAATTCAAAGTTTGTTTTTTATGGTTCACAACCTCAAAATTTTTTTTTGGAGAAGTTACGATTTTGACAAATTTTGAAATTTGATTTTGTCTTCTGATTACTTCTAGTTAGAGTTTAGTTAGAAAAACATGATTATGGTGCTAAAAAATGTTGAATTCCAGGAACGGTTATTTTTTACTTATAATAAATTTGTGGCATATAGTTTCAGGGGCATAAGTATATTTTACGTATTCTTTGAGAGGATTAGAACAATTCAGTAAAATTGTATAAGTATATGTATGAAGGAAAGGCCATTAAAATCATAATCAAAGGCAAAGGTTAAATTCGTCTAGTCTCGTAGTTCAAAAATCCTCAAGTTGTAAGGTTGAAAAGAAAATGTTGAAAAAAACAAAAATCATGCTTTTTCCTATTTAAAACAGTTTTTTTTTGTTTAAAACGTTAAAATTTAGCTGAAAACAAAACATGTTTAAAAAACTGTTAATACATTTTTAAAACGGTAAAAAAATGAAAAATCTATTGCCTATATAATCTAGCAACGTTAATGGAGTTCCTTCCTATTTTTGATCCTGCTCTATCAGGCACATCTCTAATTTTTTGCCTTTGGGTAATTTTTCCCCTTACGATCTCCAGCAGTCAAATGTGCGAAGCCGTAGCGTGGTGGGGTGTTTTGTTTTTTGTGAATTAAAGATCGGCAAAAAAAGAAAGGCAATGACAGTTCGGAGAAAGGATCCCGTGTGGAAATATTTTAAGGAGACTGATGCCAAAGCTAGCTGGAAAATAAATAAAAGAGCAAAATATTTAACCTGCAATATGGATATAGTGCCACTGGTGGCTAGAATGCGCAACCTTTTAAAAAATTCATTAAACAAGGAAGTTTGTTAGAAAAACAAAATATTCATATATCAGATAGTTCTGATACCGACAATGATAATGTTTTCGTTAAAAGTAGCGAAAAAAAAATTATTCTATGTACATTTTCCATGATTTTATAATTTCCAAATATGAATTTAAGGATTTTTTAGTAAATAAGATGGGTTGTATACTTTTATAGAAATTTGATAAGTGACTTGTTTAATGTTATTATACAAGTAAATATATAGTCTTATTATATGATTATTCTGCTGCTTGTAGTGTACTAGTATTAGAGTTTATCAAGATCATTCGTTCGTTAAGAAACAGATTTTTTCCGCTAGTACTTTAGTTCCCTAGTTTCATGTTTGATTAATTAATAAAAAATAAATTATATTTTTTAGCCTATGTCCCTTTTAGTTTCATTTTGCAAAATAAAATCAATTTTAATCATACTTAAAAAAATATAAAAACAAACTTGAAAAATTCACAAACGACAAAAAACAGTGTGTAAAACAAATTGGTTTAAAACACCTTCATTGTTTTAAACGGTGTTTATAATACTTGTTTTAAATATTTTGATTAAAACATAACAACTCTGTCAAGTTGATTTCATATAAGTCAAAAAATTGACTTATGCCCTTTTAACTATTTCAAACAGAAATATAATATAAATATAAAAGTACCTTTTTCGGAAAACTTCAATCAAATCTTTCATGGCTGAACACGATTTTAGAGTTTCGGGGTATTCTATCTCAGTGTAGCTATATAATCACTTTTGATTTCAAAAAGTTTCTTTTATCCATTGCAGTAATAATAGGATAGTCAAAAATATTAATCGTGGCTTTATCACCCAGACCTAAGAATTTAGCGTTTGAGGATTCATGGTTTTGTGTACGGCTTAAAAAATTGCGTAAGATTGTGGATAACACTTTGCACATTTTTTCTCGTATTTCTGATACGGCGGTTGCTACGCCCCTGGACCCAAGGTGATATGAGTGGTACGCGCATTGCATAATGGGCATCCCTCATATCATGTAAAACATGTCAATGGCTCGCTTTTGATACGGCTGCCGAGGACAACGGATGACTATTACGCATAGTAGCGGATCTAAGATATGTGGGGCCTGAAGTTGGTATGGAGCCCCAACCGAATTGAAGAACGAGGGGAAAGGCTGAGGGGTGCTGGAACGTTACGATTTTGTCATTTTGGAAGCGTAAATTTTATCTGCTCTGAGACCCAATAGATCCTGAGTCCCGGAGCCCACAGTATGTCGTGTGCGTATCTTAGATCCGCTCCTGATTACGCAGCGAATGTAGAACTCTCAAGGTCATGTAACGTCGGTAAAGGAATCGACGTAGTTTTTATGGAGTCGTATTGTTGTAAAGTGTTAAATATGTAGTGGCAAAGATGTAGAGTGCATATTGTATAACGGATATTTACCCATCACTATCATAATGCTCTTCAGCGATCAATGTATCCGCTCGTTTGCTAAAAGCTGACAGACGCTCGTCTTGAGCAGACAGAGTGTTAGCAAAAGCTCTGTGTTGTTTTTGCAAAGCCTCCACTTCGTCCAGAGAGTTCTAGAATAGAGCATATTGAAACCAAAACAAGTTAGTATCAAACTTTTGGCGTGATAAAATGTAAAAAATAATAAAGCTTTATTACCGTCATAACTAGTAGTGACCTCTTTTTAAATATTTCAATAAATAACTCATGAATGTGGGTAATATTATTTTCCAACAGGGTACGTTACTAGTTATAATGGGCTAGGGGCATGATTTTAACTGAGTGTAAACCCTTTATGTGCATTTTGATGTCTACTTGTCGTCATACACATGATCCAATACGATAATTCCAACAATGCCATTATAATTTCTATACAGGAATTAGTTTTCATTCATATGTAAAAATTATCATAACGGAGCGTATGATTATGGTAAGGCAACACAGTTTAAAGTTCATTTAAAATCAGACCCCCAGATCATTATTATCACAAGAAGAAAAATGTTCACACAATATGTTTTGTTATATGGATTAAATGAAGAAAATACCAATAAAAGCAAAAAGTAAAGAAACATGGTAACTTTTTTCTGTTCGCTCACCCCGAGATCGGAAAATTCCAAAAAGGCCTGATGAGCGGAAGTAGCAGCGTCTATCTTATCAGCCTCTTTATTGAATAGCTGCAATTGCAAACATTGCTGAAGCCAACGTTCTTTTTCCTTCCAACCCCTAGCTATAGCCGCCTGTTCTGCTATCAACCTTTCTACTGTATCCTCAACTTCACGGAGTTCTGGGTTAGATTTCAGGAGCTTTTTGCCCAATCCCGTGATTTGTCTGAACCTAGATTATGGATTACACGAAATAGAATTTAAAATAATAAAACACATACAATACAATACATAACATCATCATAAATTTCAAAATACTGGGCAGGCGAAACGCCAGTAAAATAATTCTTTAACATATGTCGTTTCAACTGCCATCCAGAATGGAAATGAACTCGACAGACAACCACAGGATAACTTGCAGAAGTTTAATTTACGAAATATTCAACTCACTCATCATCCTTGGCTTTGATGTCCTGCGCTAGATCCTGATGACTCTTTAACAACGTTTCAGCTGTTTGAACGTCCCTGACCATGTTATCAGCGTTTAGTTGGTCTTTGACGTCAGCGACCCATGCCAACAGGTGTTTTGCGCTATTGGTGAAGATCTGTTGACCAACTGCGTCTTCTAGCCTTGCTCTTCTTTCCAAGGCCTTATCCTTCACCCTAAAAAATTGATTGCATCAAGTAAGCTTATTCAGAATTTTTCGTGCGTTTCAACTGAATGCTGTGAAATCTGAATCCAAAGGGTATTTCAATTCGCCGGGTGCGAAGTGCTGAATTGACGCTTGGCAAAGGTGCAAATATTTCACTGGCATCATTTGTCAAAAAAAAAAACAATGCCAGCTTGAAATTCAAATTCTTCCTGACCTCAAATCAACTAATCGTGTATCATTTCTATTTCCGTTTATTTTCTTACCGACATCCGCTAGATGGTGCCTCAGGATTGTTTTTTCAAGTAACACCAACAATTTTGTAAAAATATGCTTGCCTATTTATCAGAGAACGTTTTATGAATAATTTTCTATAAATGTCTTTTTTAGCTGTTTCTACAAATGGCCATTCTTTGATTAACCATTTGGTACAATTGGGGCTCAATTTTATCAGTAACTTGAGGAATGTTTTGCTATACTTTTAACCTTGAGGAATCAAAAAAAAAACAAGTGGGGATAGATTGCATGATTTCTCAAGCCGGCGGACATCAATCACCAATGCGAGAAATCAGGTCGCCAACGGAAAAACTGTGGCACTTCCGATTTTGCCTCACCACATAGCATGTGGTCCTATATTGTTCAAGGGATATATTGGTATAACGCATATTATATAATTTGTGCACGAAAAGTCCATATTTGTGGCACTCCTTGCGGTTAACATTTACGGCTCCACTATTGCAATTTTTATGAAGAAATAAGTGAATTTTCGTAACATGCCATCATAATTAAATTCCGAGGAACCTATTGGAACACCCTTTAGCTTCTCCTGCAAACGTAAATATTTCAAGCATTACCTCAGCCAAAGATTATCAATCTCCTTCTGCTTCTGTTTGACGTTAGGCCTTTCACTGGGATATGAAACTTGAACAGAATTCGCCAGCAAGTTAACAGTATTAACTTTCTCCTCGACTGGCGCTAGCTCTCGCTCTAAGTTATCGTGTCTCCTCTGCAAAGCTTGAACGGTCTTCAAATCGTGACCCAATACTTGAGTGTCAAGCTGCATCATCTTCTCCAGCATCCAATCCTTCGTTTCTTCGCAGACCTTGTTGAAGAGTTCGACTTCGCTGGCGCCCTCAAGACTCTTGGCCTTTTGGGCTTTGAGGCGATTCAAGCGTTGCCAAGCGGCCTGAACTTGACGGTGACGTGTTTTCACCTTGTCGATCTGGGAGTGGTTCTGCTTTTCGAATTCTTTCACGTCGGCGTCCAGAGCGTCCATACGTTTTTTGTTGGCGGATAAGTCCGTCATGAATTTCTGAGAAAAAAATTGGTAAGAATGCATGGTACCCAAAGGGAAAATGTATGTATATGAAATTACACAGATATACGAGAGATTAGATCAGATGTTCTCAACTCAAGGTTTTAAAAGGGTGCTTTTTGGTAGTACATCTTGATATACAGATTCATAAAAGTGTTATATCAAAAACTTCAATCTGTAAACTTTAAAAGGTATTAACTCTTGCATTATAGGTAAAAAGGTGTTAACCCAAGAGTTAATTAACACCCTTGTGCACTCAAATTTTAATTTGTTTACGTTTGAACACGTTTCGTGAGAAGTTTTGTTTTTCTGATTTTTACAACATTTGGACTACTTTTCAAATGGATAAGGTATGTGAAGTTTTAGTATTTTATTAGCTAGTTAAGGATCCGAACCGTCTCTACCTTTATCTATGACGTACAACAATCCGATCGAGGAATAGCAAAAACAAACGAATAAATCATACCTCACATTTGATTTACAAAAAACGCTTCCCTAGCCGAAAATTTGTAAAAGTAAAGCCTTCTATTTACAAGTATGGCTCTATAATCTAGGAAGGAAATCGCGGTCCTGAAGAGATTGGAAGCTCACTTACAGCCTTTTTGGGAAATATCAAGGACCAGGGCATGGCTTCCGATCGCCTGATTGCATGGAGTGTTTAGGAAGGTGGCCAAAATAAAAAAATATATATTGACGTGTCTATGGCACTATCTAATAATCTCTGGAGTGTTAGAAAAATTATGTTCCCTGCACCAACTAATTTATACGGTGGATCAATATATTTCAATCATGGCAGAAGCTGGGAAAAAACACCTTTCAATATTACAAGAATGGCGGACAAATTTGTTGATTTTAAGGAGTTTCCAAGAAAACTTGGACTGGTCGATAGAAAAAAACTACAACTAATGAGAAATTTTCATTCAGAGATGTAAGATGGATCCAGATTGAAGAATTTGATGTAACCAAGTATACATACTCTTTTAATGAAACGGAAAATTGGAGTACGAGCCTCTTCTTTCTTCAGTTGGCCCAACTATATTGAAATCTTAGTTTTTTTCTTATCAAACACTAATAATAAAAATGTCGCAGGGTGTTATAGGTTTAAAATATTAACAATGAATATTTTGATAATATATAGTAGAAAACACCAACTATCACTCCCTAATTAAATTTACAGCATAAAAATAACACATGTTGCAATTACAGCATATCAACCTATTTTCATCTCAATGCAAAATAAGTCTATAACGCATAGGTGGCTGTGAAAAATAAAGGCCATGTTTTTATTAATCACAGCTGTCAGAATACGTTTAAAATAGTTTTGGGTAGTTAAGTTTTCAAAATGGGTAGAGAAAATGTTATTAGTGAGAAAATTCGGTTACTGATAATTAATTTTTTTAATTCTGGGAAATCAAACTCAGAAATTGCAACTTTGTTAGACTTATCGCGGTACAGTGTGAGAAATATTGTTAGAAGATATAACGTAACTGGTTCAGTTGATATTAAGCCACGATATGTGAAAAAAAGTAATATCACAAATGCCGACCGAAGAGCATTAAGAAGAATAATCGTGAAAAACAAGCGTGCCAATTATTTACAATTAAGTGCTCTGTGGAGTGACGCTGTTGGAAGGAGAGTTTCGAGGTCCACAACTCATAGAGAGGCCCACAAACTGGGATTTAGCACTTGCAAGGTATGTTTTCTTATAAAAAAAGTGAAGTAAAAGCCCTAAAGTTGCACAACTTGTTTATAGGCCAAAGAAAAGCCACTATTAACTCCATTGCAAAAGGAAAATCAGCTGAGATGGGCTAAAGAACATAGACAATGGACACCTCAACAATGATGTGCAATATAATGGAGTGATGAGGCCCGATTCTAAGTTTGTGTTGGTGACAGTCGCAGTAGAGTTATTCCCAAAAAAAATTAAGCATTCAATGTTGACTGTCTGAAGAGAAAAGTGAAATTTCCAGCATCCCTTATGGTCTGGGGCAGTATGTCATCATAAGGAGTAGGAAAACTTCATTTTATTGATGGAGATGTGGATACAAACATATATTTGGCAATTTTAGAAGAATCGCTTTTACCAGTGATGGAAGAATGTTGGACATCCGGCCAAGATTTTGTGTTACAGCAAGATGGTGTAGCGTGCCATACCTCAAAAAAGGATATAAAATGGATGGAAGAAAATAATGTACCACTTTTGAAATGGGTTTCTAGCAGTCCAGATCTGTCACCTATTGAAACTTTGTGGCACGAGATGAAAACGGTTCTACGACAACATCCTGCTCGTACAATCACCGAACTGAGATAAAAGGCTCGTACAAATCTTGAAGTGGGCCAACTGAAGTGGGAAGGGGCTCGTATTTTGTTGATATAAGAAAACAGCGAAATCTCGATAGAAGAGTACAAAATGAACCATTATTGTTGAATATCGATAGAAGCCGACCTATTGGGGCTAAAAAGTTTGATAATATTCAGAAACAAATTCAGCAAATTTTAGAGGCTTTTATGGGAATTTAAGAAGAGGAGGCGATTAGTTACAGTGTGTGGATTATTTATTACTTTTGTGAGATTGTAATAAGAAAAAACAAAAATGTTCACTTTTAATGAATAAATCATTGAATTAACACATTTCTGCTATTTTCATTTTCCGAACCAAGCAAATAAGATTTTCAACCATGTTTTTCAAATTTCTGATAATAAACCAATTTTTTTAACAAAACTGTTTATTCGAGACACTTTTATATGTGTCTAAAATAACCTTGAATAATAAAAGCAGCCCTAACAGTATCCAATAAAAAATGTCAGGATTTAATTTTTGAGGCCAATTATCTCCAACCTATAAAATCTGAGTTATTACCTTTTTGCACCAAAGGCTTCAATCGAAAATTGCCGAGTCAGTCAGCGCTTTTGGGAACAAATGATTTTATACCAATTGTACATCGGATAGACAATTAAAATTGAAGAAGGGGAACAGATCGACAATTGAAAATTGAAAAGCAGGTTCAGAAGAGCAGCTGTCCTCGTGACAATTGAAGAGTAGGGGACAAAAATTTTCCTCATTGATTAACGTATTCTCCAAGATGGTGCCCAATCTCATGAAGTATTTGGACGTTCAAAAAGTCAAGTTGCCAAGTAGGATCGCTGTGATTCCCTTAGAAGTAATAAAAACAAACTCCATTTTCCTTACGAAGACAATTGTTTATTCTTAAACATGAGATCAATTTTCAAGGAAAAATCATCTTTCAACATCCTTGTCATTATTCCTAAAACTTCGTATCATCAGAATCTCTCAACAAAGGAAAGGAAATCAAATAGCCCGCAGCAATACTCAGAGAGGTGGCAACGCTGACACCTAAAGATGGTGATCGACGTTTGTAAACATAAGTGGTTTTCGGCGCCAGTGTACGTATGCTCATTTTCGCGTAAGAACGGATTAGGTATCAATTTATTTACCTCATATTTCCTCTTAGCTTGTTCAACATTATCATTAGGATCATCAACAGTAAGCATCTTTTCTTTGTCCTTAATCCATTTCTCTAGGTCAGCACACTCCCTGTAGAACGTGAACAGTTTCACTGCGTCAGCGAGTAACGCGTGCCTTTTAGATGCCAATTCTTTCAACTGTTCATAAGTGTCGTTGATCTTCTTTTGTCTTTTTGGTACGCTGTCACTGTCGTCTAATTTGCGTTTGTGTGACCTGCTGGGAGTTCGATGGACCTTCACTGGAACTTTAGTTTTTACCTAGAGCAAACAAAAAAATAAATATAATAATAGTAACTCAATCAGCTATTCTTATTGAATAAGATGGCAGTCCCTGGGATTTCGACTGCTAGGGATCGTCCAAACACAATATTACTGACTTTTCTACAGCATGCCTAGTCTAAAGTAATAACGTTGACATTTTTGAAGCTGGAAAAATGGCACTCTTGTTTGATACCGATAAAATGAGTCATTTCTGAGTACAGTTCCACCAATTTTGACATCAAGTTCTACACCTTGTCGAAGTTTTGAGGACCGGTTGCACTATAAGTCGATAGGGCCAGTATTCAATCAAATCTATTTTTGATAAAAAGGCTCATATATCAAAATCAAATGTGTTTTTCAGCTAAAGAACTATGATTCCCAAAAAGCGTCAGTTTTTAATTACTATTACGGACAGTGTAAACAGTTGAAATATTTTATCAGGATTACTCGTCCTTGGCGATCTAATTAAGTTAATTGTCTTCTATGGACGCCATGTAAAGCCTCAAAACAACAGAAAAGATTTCCACTATGCTCTTCACTGAACCCATATTTCCGAAGAGCCCCATTTTCTTATAGAAACTTGTGCGTCATTATTTTGTGTATACGAAAAATTGCCACCTTATTCTCGGACACCCGGTTTAATATTGTACTTACCATTTTGGTCTTTTTAACCTTCTGAACGCTCTTGACGACCTCGGGCTTCCTCAAGTTGATATGTATGATCCTAGGTTCAATTTCAACAACATAATTTGCTGGTGCGAACCCATCTGTACCATCTGCCTTCCTCACACACCACCAGTCAGGATTGCTCTTGTTTAGAAGAAACATCACCTCACCTTTGACCATAGTAAGACCGTGGTCGTTGAACGAGTATAAAGCTTTAACTTGGGGCACCCTTTTTTCTTCTACTATTGTACGGTACTCGGTTCGTTCGACTGGTTCGTCTACCCATACCTCAGTGGGTACCATTCTAAAAAATAAAATATGTTGTGGTGACCAAATTTAAACGCTTTCCCCACATTAAGACGAATATCAAAATAATCCAAAGGATAATTTATTTATACGGGTCTGTTAGTTTGACCTTCAAATATTTCTGTTGGTATGCCACAAGGTAGTAAACTAGGTCCACTACTATTTATTTTATCCATTAATGACATTTGTAATATTTTAGATTATTGTAAATTTCAGATGTTTGCAGATGATACATTAATATACATATCAGATGAAAATATAGACACTGCTTTAAAAATGATAAATTATGACTTGGCAAAAATCGTAAATTGGGTAAATGTACATAAACTAAAATTGAATACTTTTAAAACAAAATTTATGCTAATAGGCAAATATCTAAATGAAACTACCATCACAGTTACGATAAATGGAAAAATAATTGAAAATGTTGAATCAATTAAATATTTAGATAAATATATTGATAGTAAACTAAAGTTCTAGGATCACTATGAACACATTATTTCAAAAGTTGCCAAAAAAAAATAAATTCTTTTATAGGGCTTCTCATAGTCTTGGTACCTATTCCAAGAAAATAGTTTATAATACAACTATATAATACCACATTTACTATATTGTTCAACTATCTTGTTCACTGCCAATGAAGCGTGTTCTCAAAATTACAAGTCTTGCAAATTAAAGCTATGAGAATGATACTGAATAAAAATAAGTACTCCAAAATAAACTCTATGTTACAAGAATTGCAGTGATTGAATATAAGAAGATCCATATCATATTTGGTTATTATTTTTATATCTAAAATAAAAAATCATCTTTTGACACAACATTTAGAACACTACATAGAATTGAATAATCATTACTACAATTATTATACAAGAGGAAATATAGATTTTAATTTACAAAATTGCAATAGTAATATAATATTTCGAAAAGGATTACTTGAATCTAATAAACTAAATAATGATATACAGTCTACTTGTAATTTAAATATGTTTAAAAGAAAATTAAAGGTGTATTCCATGGACAGTAAAAATTCTTAGAGATACATTTTTTTTTCTAAATATCTGTATGTAATGTAATTGTTTAGTTTTTTAGAAAAATGTAATTGTCGCAATCATGCTAAATAAATCCTAGTCAAACAAACAAAAGTTTGGAATTCACATAACTCCAGAAGAAAATATTTCTGAAGCTTGATGCTTCCAGTTCGGTGTTTCGAAATGACAGCTTCAATATTCATCATTTTTTCATTCCGAACCTACCTATAATCATACTGAATCTCTTCAATAGGTTCTACGACTTCTGGTTCGTTGTTGAGATCCAAATGCGATATTCCAGCTGCGATGAGCCTTTCAGCTTGGCTATTCAAGCTCTGGATATCACCACTATAAGCGTTGATCTCACCTTCCAGGTCTTTATGTCGCTGAAGCAAGGCCTGAGCACTAGGTTCGTCAGTACCATAGTCGCTAGAGGCAACTATAGCTGTCTTTTCATTCAACCTATAAAAAATGATGCATGAATACCCTGCTTATGTCAAACTTCATAGGAAATGTAAAATCAATCACCTGATCCTTGATTTATCAAAATACACAACTATGGGCGGGTAGCACTAAACCAATGTTGCCATTTCCCTGCTATATTTAATAATAATATAGCGTTTAGTTGATACTAAAAATAATAATTACAAGCGTCAAAATATACAGGGTGACTTTGAAGTTGAGTCATTAATTTTCAGATAATGATTGTAGAAGGAAGATAAACCAAAATATGTGTGTAAAAATAAAAAAAAAAATAAAAAAAATTTGTTACCTTGTTTTATAAAGTATCCTCCCGACAAGTATTTCAGTGCGGACCTGTATTTGATCGTGAGGTCCCCTGTGAGGTCTTAAGTCACCTGATTCACGAGCCCGTTGTACTACATTAACAAAGGCACGAGGGGTTGGTTGCACTCGATTGGGAAACCGATCCGCATAAACATGTGCCATTTTTTATTTCGTTTGAGCCACGCAACAGACACTATTCACACGCGACTGACACTAACTGTATGTATAACTGAACTGAATAAAATAAACATCGTTCCAAATTCTTTCGCTTTTTTGTTTCCGATGCGATGAACCAATAAGGTGGATTATATCCGTTGTTGCCAAACACGAGTACATGATATTATTGAGACAGGGCGGTACTCAAACTTCCAAAGGGCTATAACTTTGTTACTTTAATTTTACCAGAAAAATGGTAAAGGAAAAAAACATTTCTTTTGATCAGATCTACTCACTGTTAAAATAAATGACTCAACTTCGAAGTCACCCTGTATATATGTATATATACGTCTGGTAAATAGTACGACCAAAAAATGTCGGGGATAAGCGAAAGGCAGATCTACAACATATCAAAAAATGACCCTAGTAAAAGTTTCACTGTTTTTGAGATATTATTTTTTTTGTCTTTTTCGAAAAATTTCCTCATCTGATCTATTTTTGGTTGCTGATTAAGCAGGTACTTTATCGCAGTACTTTGTAGTAGCAGTCTAGTAGAGTAAAATAGTTTTCTAAAATAAAAATTAGGAAGAAGAAATTAGTTTGGCAAATTTACCTACTTGTATTTATCGACAATAATATTTCAAATGGCAGACCAACTATATGAGAATATTTTGCAAAAAAAAGCAACAGATATCCTGTTATTTCTAGGCACAGCAACAAAAGATAGATTAAAAAATTAATATCTCAAAAACAGTGAAACTGTTACTAGGGTCATTTTTGGTATGTTGTAAATCTGCCTTTCGCCTATCGTCCATGTTTTTTTGTTGTACTATTAAAGAAATTGTATAAAAATATAAAAATATAAAAAGGAAATTTTCTGCAACTTCTTTTGAAAGCTGACACAGACATAGACTTAATGTTTTTGGGGACGTGATTGTACAAGTGGTAGATAAAATGGATCTATTAAACATAGATGTACGATGACGTTTTTGGGAAATCAACTTCCGGGTGAGTTGTGATGTGTTTTAAAGATCAGGTTATATATTTTGTTTGAACATACCAAGAATCAGCTTCGTTGGCATCTGCATAGAACTGATAAGCTTCACAAGCGTCTTGCAGCTGTTTAGCTCTTTCATCTGCCAGTTTTTCCAATACGGTCCACTCTTTCTTGTTTTTGTCTATGTGCTGTTGTATCTCTGCCGATCTTGGGTGGTTCTCTGAGATCAGCTGTTTGCTGGTAGCTCCCAACTGATCAAACTTGTTCTTTCTAGCTTTGATTTCATCCATAAGCGCCTTGTGCTTCTGTTGCAAGGACAGAACTCCTCGTAGGTCTTTGGCAGTGATACCAGCCTGGCAGATGCGCTGTTTCTCTACCAGCCAAGCTTCTTCGTCTTCCTGATCTTGGAGGAATTGGTAAAAGTTTCTTGCTTCTTCGAGGATAGCTTTGCGTTTCGCACTTGCTTCCTACAAAAAAACAAAACTTCACTTTGGCAGGAAAACTAGCAAAAGTAGATCCGCCGTAATGGAGTTTGAGCGGTGAAAAATTTACATTAGAGTCGTGTGATCCTCCCCCCAATCTAACCACAAAACAAACTCTACTCAAAATTGCAGATATTATTTAATCTTCAGAGCTTCTCAATCTAACAAGAGAACAAGATTCAGTACGCTGGTGTAATTTTTGTCTTTAAAAACCTTATTTACTTCTGGGATCTTCGGTCGATTTCAGCAAAATTCTGACTTCAGCTTAGTAATAAACACAAGAATTTTCGATTTTTTTAGTGGTGCGCATTTGAACTGTACAGTTTCTGAATACATAATTTCCATTTTTGTCTCTTGTTATTATTAGTAAACAAAACAGTACAACACCAGAGTCATTCTGGATGCTATTTACGAATATGGCAATGAAAAAAGGTCAATGTGTTGCGAAGTCCTAAGAAAACAGAACTAAGCTTGATAGCAAACTGAAAGACAACAAATCAAAATAATGAAAAACTCACCTTCAATTGGGCATAGGCTGTGGACAGATCAGCCAGCTTTTTCTTCAAAATATCCTCTTCTTTAGGATTCTGCGAGGCTAACTGTTCACCAACTCTATGCAAACGTCTTTCAGTCTCACCAAGAGCGGAAACTTGCAACTCCTGAAGAGCGTGCCTTTGTAACAGCTCTTCAACAGCCATCAGATGGATTCCAGTATCGATGGAAGACATATCTGTCTTCAGTTGTTCGATACTGTGTAATGTCGTATCTATTTCTCGTAAAAGAGACATTACGTTACCCATCCTCGTCAAATTGTTCTTGTGCTTTTCTAACAGGCTCTTCAGAAGTTCCCACTGCTCTAAAATCTCTGCTTCTCTAGCTTTAACTCGATCAGAGTTTCGATATTTCTCTCCGACTAGTTCCTTTGCCATTTCGGTTAAGTCGTGTATTCTTTCTTCTCTTGCTAAGATGTCAGCACTGATGGCCTCGTGCTTTTTCACTGTTGCGTCGACTTGAGCCAGGTTTGAACCATACCTAAAAAACATACTATGGTTAGCATGGAAAATGTAGTCGGGGCGGCGGCACCCCAGATATGTGAGCAGTACTCGAGGCTAGGTCTTATCTGAGCCTTGTGCAGAGAAGGTTATTTGGAGGAAAGTACTCAGCCCTGAACCAATAGCATGTCTTATTCCCAGCAGCTTTAGAGATGAGTTCCTTCCAAATCAACTCCTCGGTGATCTGGACTCCGACCAGCCGAAGAAGGATCTTTAGGAGTGATTAACACACACTATTACTCTTTTGTTCCTAAGCTTTTGTATTTTCTGAATTTGTCAAGAAGGGAAAAAGAAATTTTATAATCTGAGACAACAATCCGTATATGCCTAAAAGACGCATGCTTATGTGTTAATCAATGATAGGACAAATTGGCATAGAGAACATCTACACAAAATATACAGTAGCGGACAAAAGTTTGTAAACAAATATGAACATTATTATGAACTATTTCATATACCTAAATTAAAATTGCGAAGGAACAGATAATATAAACATTAAAGTCTACCTTTGGCTTCCGAACTAATACAAGGTTTATCAATATTCAAATTCTCTGAAAATAAAAACACGCGTTTTATCAAATACCACAATTTTTGTAACGACAAAAGTATGGAATTCATCAGTGAGTATGGCAAAAGTAAAAGAATTTTCAAAAGATTTAAGAGACAAAGTAATTGAATTATTTAAAAGTGGTGTCAGAAATGTTGACCTTTCTCAAAGATTAAAAATGAACGAAGGGACGATATCGAAAATTATTAGTATGTAATGAATTTGTCAAAGAGGAAAAAGAAATTTTATAATCTGAGACAACAATCCGAGATGTGGTATATGCCTAAAAGACGCATGCTTATTTTCCCGCAGAGATGACTGTCAGTTGAGTTGGCTATATTCAGATGGAATGTGTTTATCGATGATAGGACAAATTGGCCTAAGAGAACATCTACACAAAATATACAGTAGCGGACAAAAGTTTGTAAACCAATATGAACATTATTATGAACTATTTCATATACCTAAATTAAAATTGCGAAGGAACAGATAATATAAACATTAAAGTCTACCTTGGGCTTCCGAACTAATGCAAGGTTTATTAATATTCAAATTCTCTGAAAATAAAAACACGCGTTTTATCAAATACCACAATTTTTGTAATGACAAAAGTATGGAATTCATCAGTGAGTATGTAGTAAAAGTAAAAGAATTTTCAAAAGATTTAAGAGACAAAGTAATTGAATTATTTAAAAGTGGTGTCAGAAATGTTGACTTTTCTCAAAGATTAAAAATGAACGAAGGGACGATTTCGAAAATTATTAGTAGTGAATTTGTTAAGGAGGGAAAAAGAAATTTTATAATCTGAGACATCAATCCGATAGGTCGTATATGCCTAAAAGACGCATGCTTATTTTCGTGCAGAGGACTGTCAGTCGAGTTAGCTATCTTCAGATGGAATATGTTTATCAATGATAGAACAAATTGGCCTAAGAGAACATCTACACAAAATATACCGTAGCGGACAAAAGTTTGTAAACAAATATTAACATTATTAGGAACTATTTCACCTAAATTAAAATTGTGTGATATCGAAAATTATTAGTAAATATCGAGAATACGGATCAACAGCAACGCGGCTCAGGTGCGGAAGACAAAAAAAAAACGATTATGTTTTGGATCGCTTTGTCTCACGAAGATCCTCGACTGCCAGCCACACATATTTTCAAAAGAATCGTACAAGAGGGTGCCGAGAATCTTTCTGTCAGAACAGAACACTTGGTGGATTTTGGGCTTTTTGGTAGGCGCCCAGTGCCTCTCATTTTAAAAAAATGTATTGCTCGGTTTGAATTTGCTAAGACTCATCTAACTTGGACAGAACAACAATGGGATACAGCGATGAAAGCAAATTTAACTTGTTTGGATCTGACGGTACGGCAGATGTGAGACGTCCAATACGAAAAAGATTCGACAAAAACTATCAGTTGCTGACAGCTAAGAACGGTTGAGGCAACATCATGGTTTGGGGCTGTTTTTATAGTTCTGGAAGGGGTCCAATTGTTAAAATTGTTGGGAAAATGGGTCAAAAACTTTACAAAGATATTCTAAGTGAGCACGTGCTCACTTTTGCTGAAGAAGAAATGCCTTTACTATGGACATTCCAGCAAGATTATGACTCCAATCATACCTCAAAATTCGTAAAGGACTGGTTAAGACTAAAAAATGTTAATGTTCTTACATGGCCCTCGCAATCCCCGGACCTAAACCCTATACGAGTAGAATATCTCTGGGAGCATGTTGAAAGACAAATGACAAGAAAAACTTTTAAAAATAGGAACGATTTATTTGATTATGTAAAAAATATTTGGCAAAATATCCCATCAGACGTCTGTAAAAAATTGGTGTCTTCTTTTAGCAGCAGATGTCAGGCAATGTTGAATGCTAAAGGCTACGCTACCAAATATCAGCTAAATAGTATTTTTTAAATCTTTTTGTAGTATTTTGTATTTAATTTTGTAATAAGAAATATGTTTCCATACTTTTGTCGTCTCATTTTTGGTCATGATATAATATGGAAGTATTTTAATGCTAGTCTGTAAGTACCACAGAAAACACAAATTGTCATTTGTATTCTCAAGACTGTAAGCATACTATATGAACAAAAAATTACCGCACTTTTTAAAAATTACTAAGAATGTTTCTAAACTTTTGTCCGCTACTGTAGTTGCACTGTGTAGACTTCAACCGTACACAATGAGAAAGAGGAACAAAGGCGTTCAGACAGAATTGATGCATAGTAATAACTGAGAAATTACTTTTCATTTAACCTACCTTGGATCTGACAGAACTTGAATCATTTCTTTGAGGTACCCTTCACGGAGTATACTCTTCCTCTCAAACTTGTACATCAGCTGCTCTAATCTCTGTTGTCTCAACAGCTCTGTCCTTAGAGCTACCTCACGTCTATGTTCAGCTTTCTCCAAGTTCTCCCAAGCTCTTTCAATATCTTGTACAAGTTTCCCATCGTTTGGATTAAAGGCTGGTTGCCTCAATTCTTTCAACTGAGTGTTGATGTTGAAGTATAGAGCTTCAATTTCGCTACGTTCCTTGTACTTTGGAGGTTTTTCTTGCGTTCTGTAATGTCCGAATTGTATGAAAAGGCTTTGGATGCCTTCCAGGGAGTTTGGAAAATGTCGGTCTTCTAGCTCTACGATTTTTAGTCGGATCCAATCTAGTAAGTCTGTAGATAGGTTGTCGTAGTGAATTTTCATCTTGTCACTTTCGATCATTTGTTTAATAATCTGAAAAAAAAATAGTGTGAGTACTTCAACTTGAATGATCATCTGAGACGTTTTGGTTTGAGGAGGTTGAACCTATTTGTATCTTGAATTGCAGTGGTTGAATATAAAAAATTTCATATGATATTTGCTTCTTATTTTTATATTTAAAATAAAAAATCATATTTTGCCACCGCATGCAGAACACTACATAGAATTGAGTAATCATTACCACAATTACTATACAAGAGGGAATATAGATTTTCATTCACAAAATTGCAATAGTAATATAACTAGCAAATCAATATTTCAGAAAGGATTACTTGAATTTAATAAACTAAATAATGATATAAAGTCTACTTGTAATTTACAGATGTTTAAAAGAAAATTAAAGGAATATTTCATCGACAGTGAAAATTCTTAGAGATGCAAATTTTGTTTTCTTTTTCTTAATATCTGCATGTTATGTAATTGTTTAGTTTTTCAGAAGAATGTTATTGTAGGAATCATGCTAAATAAATCTTATACAAACAAACAAACAAAGAAAGTCAAAAGCCTCCGAACAGAACTTTGAATAATTTCCTTCCTGCTCTATGGAATGTTTTGTAAGGTTTATTAACTACCTTAGCAATTCGTCTTCCACTTTTTTCTTCATTTTTCATCCGTGCAAATGTGTGGTAATAGGATGCCACATACGTCATTATACTTTTCTCGTCAGGTCTAGATGTATCGATATCTTCAGCGTCCAGAAGTCTGAAAAACAATACAAATCATTGATTAAAAACGCGAGGTAACTTACATATAACGTGAAATCTTCCAAAATATGATATACAGGGTGTCCCAGCAGTGGACGTGAAGTCGGAAACGCGGGATAGGCCAAGTCATAATAGTTATCAGATAAATGTAAAAAAAATCGAAGTCAAATTATAGGCTTTAAAAAAATTAGAAAAAATCTACATGATGATCTTTCAGTGCCCATTACTACAAATTTCATTTTTTTATACGTGGTGACAGCAAGCAGACTAACGCCAGATATATAAAAAAAATATAAATGGCGTTATAAATGGGAGCTCCCTCAGCCCCAGAAACTCCTGAAGGATGTTGTTATATTCCTTAGCTATTTGGCAGCTTTTTTTGGATCTAATTTAATATTTTAAACTTTTGCTCGAAATTTAATTTTTTTATAAAGGTACGTAGGTCTGTTTTGCGTAATAACTTTATGATAAAATGTAATCGCAGAAATGTTTAATCTGTTTCTCATATTGATCCATTTGGTTTATTAATTTTTTTCCGAAATGTGATCATATTTTCTTATGCCATGAATAAGCCTGAACAATTTGAATTTTTCTGCGACTTTCTACATCAAAACTGCTATGGAATCTAGGTGAAAGATACGAGGACTGTTGTAGTACACTAAAGACTTTCAAATAAAGCTTTTTTAGTGTTATAATTTAAATACGATGGGAATACAGCATCCTGAAGGATAGGCATTTTTTATATTCATAAGCACCTGTCTTCGGAAACGCAATTGTGACACTGAAACTATTTTTGATTGTTTCTCGAACTCGATTCTGACCAAACAAAACAAGAGTGGACTTTTTCGGATTTAATAATAAAGAATGTTGGTTCAATATACATGAAAGATGATACAAGTCATAGTCAATTTTTTGCTTTGCACTCTGTATATCGTCAACCTTAAATTTGTAGTATAACTGAGTTTCGTTAGAGTACATATGCATTTTACAATTATGCACATAATGGTGTAAATATAAAGTATCCATGAGGCACCCCCGGCGATAAAATTTTGCTAGATGATTGTCAAAAAGTCGTACTTGTTGACTACGATTTTGAATATATGAGTTCACCAGCGCATATATATTCAATTTGTATTATTTAATTGATTGAGATTATCATCCAACTCATACTTTCTATGTTCATTATTTTATTTGTACAATCTTTCTTTGTATCTCTGTAAAGTTGAGTGGAAGAGCACGTGATGGGAACTCCGCCTTTTGGTTAATCCAATAAAGGCAATTATTATTATTATTCATGATTGTGTAGTGATACCATGTCTGCGTACACCGTATAGGAATACTTCAACATGCACCTCATTTATGGAGAATGTAGATGGAATGCTAGTGCTGCAGCTAGGCACCAAAATGCTGCTCATCATCCCTGAGTTTTTGTGAAAGTGCACCGTTTACTGTCAAAGGGACGATTCCTAAATAATGCACATGTTGAAGGAAGAGTTTCGTTTCCTTATGTATCACAAAGCATTTGGTAATACTTCGTGGCCAGCCCGTTCACCTGACTTAAGTCCACTCGATTTTTCTACTGGAGAGCGGTGAACGAAAAAGATAGCTCAAAGCCTATCGAAAATATAGCTGAGCTTCGGGACAGAATAACGGAATTAAAATAATCTGAAAAGTACACGACTTAGATTTTTTTTATATTCTCTGATAACTATAATGACTTGGCATATCCCCCGTTGCCGACTTGACGTCGACTTCTGGGACATCCTGTATTATTAGACAATAAATGTTACAGAATTTTTCAGGACAGGGTCGGCACGTGGAAATTAAAAAGCTTAACTAGAACTCACCTTGGTATTCCCAATTCATTATTAGCCACATCGAAGGCATGGTTTAAGTTATCGATGTTCTTGTTGTTTGTTAGAGCATCGTAATCGAACAGATCTGGTCTATGAGCGTGTATCAACGCATTAAATCCTAAACCATTCCTCCAAGAGCCCGTGAAATCGTTTATGTTCACCCCCGCGTAACCATGGGTTTTCCTCTGAGCCCATAATAGCAGGGCGTCTTTGGCTGATTTCTTTTCCGAACTTTCATTTTCTTCGTCCTAAAGATTACATAAATTTATTTTCCATCTTACCTTACTGAAAGTTTTGATCGAGAATACGTGTCAAGTAACTCACCACATCAATTTCTATCTCCTGTATCTGGAACCTTAAAATAATCGTCCATATAAGTCCCAATATTAACCTAGGGTTGCCATCCACTATATCTTCTGCACCTATACTCTCTAATCTCACTTTGGTATGGAGAAAAGCTAAACTTTTGTTTACATTTTCGATCTTGTGCACCCGCATTTTTCCATTGTTGGGTTTGCCTAGCTTCTCTCCAGATATTATTTCTAATAGTTTCAATAATTTCTTGCCGTCTGCTAGGTCTACGAATAAGTCTTCTACCTCCATACGGGCCTAAAAAATAAGTACATGATGATTTATCGGAAAAACAAATCAGTTCCTGACATCTTCCCATAGTTGTATTTCGACGAATTAACGCAGAAAGGCAAAGTCCATCTTTGACGATATCGAAGGCTGGGAATGTTTTTGAATTAGTAAGAAACATTCCGGATATAACAAAAGTAACGAAACGGGTGTCATATTTTTAAAGAAGGCCATAGTCAGGTCTTTTCTAGCTTTGAACAAGGAGTTCAATTGTGAACTTGGTCTTGTCCTTGAGCCTTACCTGCAAGGTTATTTAAAGGCCCCCTTTTTCGGGATATGTATTAAAATCAAAAACAAATTATATCCAACGGAAAATCTTTAAGTGAATCACAAATTTTGGACTCCAGGCGACTTTATTAATTTCTACAGTACAATCATATATTGAACTAAACATACAAATTTATTACAGTCATCAAATACGATTCAATACCCAGATTAAATAATGATAATAAAAAAGTCAACGAAAAATTCTATAACATTCCACCATATTTTGAACATATACTAAGTGACATATAAATCCGAACACCCAGTTTAAATGGTTTTATTTTAATAAAAGTTGGTGAATGTATTTATCTTACTGTAAATAAGAAGTGAAAACATTTTCAGCCTTATCAGTTGGACATTCCGGTTTTTATACTGTTTTTTTTTAATTCACTAACGCTCTAAAAATGAATATTTCAGCCGCAGTAAAGAATCAACGTTGGCGGATTTTGGTTCTTGACATCCTTTACGATCGGTTACGATGCCTAGAGTACGGAGACCTGTACGATTTCGTCAACTTAGTGAGTTTGATAGGGGCCGTATAGTGGGACTTCGGGAAGCTGGACTTTCTTTTCGGGCAATTGCAGTTAGAGTGCAAAGAAGTGTAGACACTGTGGTTAGGTGTTGTCAGGCATGGCTTCGAGAAGGCCGTACGCAAAGAGCAAGGGGCACTGGACGCCGCCGTAGAACAACAGATCGCCGCCTAAGATTATTGGCCTTAAGGGACGGTTTCTCCACTACCAGGTCCATTGCAAATGAATGGTTTGCAGAACACGGAAGACCTATTGGCATGCGAAGTGTTTACCGTTTTGGCTTGTTTTCATACCGGCCACACTGGGTCCTCCCTTTAACTCGAGAACACCGACGTAATCGCCTTGAGTGGTGCAGACAACGGTCACTCTGGGATCAGGAATGGAACAGTATTGTCTTTAGTGACGAGTCTCGATTTTGTTTAGGCATGCACGATGGTCGTGCTAGGGTTAGAAGGCGACGTGGTGGAAGGAGGAATCCACAGTTTTTTGTTGAAAGACATGTTCATCACACTGTTGGTGTTATGGTTTGGGGTGCTATAGCTTATGGTTCCAGGTCACCTTTAATCTTCATCAGAGGTCACATGAACGCGCAGCGTTATATCCACGAAGTTCTAGAACACCATCTTTTACCCTATCTTGACACCCTGGCAGATCCAACTTTCCAACAAGATAATGCCCAACCACATGTTGCAAGAGTCACAATAGACTTCTTTCAACATAATGATGTCACATTGTTACCATGGCCACCAAGATCTCCCGACTTATCCCCAATTGAGCACGTGTGGGATATGATGGGTAGGAGATGGCTCAATTTGCAACGTCCTCCTCAGACTCTAGAAGCACTTTGAGAGGAGTTGGTGGTTGCCTGGAATGAGATACCACAGGAGGACATTGACCACCTGATCAGAAGCATGCCTAGGCGCATTGGAGAATGCGTAGCACATCAGGGTGCATCCACCCATTATTAAAGGTCAAAGGGCTTTAAAGCAGTGCAATCATTTTGAAATTTTTATCATTTACTTATTATGCTTCATTAAGTACTTATACAAAATTTTATTAAAATAAAACCATTTAAACTGGGTGTTCGGATTTATATGTCACTTAGTATATATAGTCCAAAAAACGTACCAAAACCGTGGATTCAAAGTAAGCCTTAATACTTTTTAGAGTAACATATTTTATCTTTATTGGTATATTTTCATTTATTATTTATATTACATTTTGTATTATAACGAATAAACATTCATCATTATATTATTACTAAAGGGCAAATGTGTGAAGCTAAAGAAGATTCCTACAAGCTTAGCAAGATTATTTAAGAAAAAAGTCAATCTCAAGCCGTTAGTAAGTTTTAAAAAGGATTTCAATATTGACCTTGCATTTGAACTATTCAACTGAATGTTCGATTACCGGAATAAAATAGTTAAATAAAAGTTGACTGTGAAATGAAGGTGAGATTCAAGGTTGAATCTACTGTCAGCAGTAAAAGTTAAAGGTTACTAAAGAAGAATTTTCTAATCTATAATCTTGCTGAGCTTTCATGGCCCTATACGTTTGACCTTCATTTAACCTTTGAGGGTGACCGTTGTCTTACACATTAATACATTTTTGGACCAAGAATTTTCCGCTCTGTCGATTACCTGTGTCAAAAAATGTGCTTCCATTTACAAAAACAAACGTTAATCTTGAAATAACCTTGAATGTGAGGTCAGATCGAAGATCGCCATTGAATTTCTTGCTCAAATCTGGGGAAGATCTGACCTTGACTATTTTCAAAAAATGCCTTGAGAACATACAGAGACATTTCGTTACCTTTATTAATACTGGCTATGTGCATGCAAATAAATTATGTTCATGCTGAAATATTTTATAAATACAAATGATCTTGAGGAGCTTGTTCTGCGTTACAACTCGCTAGAATTTAAAAAAAAACTTGAACATCAAGACAGTTCCGAGGTGACTACGACACAAAAAATACCGAAAATATGCTATTTTTTGTCTTTCGAACTTAGGATACTTTAGAAAAAAAGCATTCCATGTCCAGGAGTGGTTGAGTTTTCTTGTTTTGACTATTCCAGTGACCTGGAGCCGATTCAACTGAATTCAGACCCTTGCTATTATTTTCGATACCGTCATACATATGATCTGTCATAGTTGACAACTGAGTTTTGTTTTTATATCGAAATTATCACGGCAGTGTTTCAATTATCATAGCGGATAACGGCAACGCGATATCGAAATCAATTCCAAAGGTAGAAATTCAGTTACAATCAGGCCTTAGGTGATCTCCTTTGCTCTCTATTTTCAACTCTCCTCATTCCAGAAAGCTCCTCCAAGATTGAACATTACAAATATCTGATAGATAGTAACTTATCTTGAATTAGCATATTTTATCAGGATGCTGTGCTACTATGTTTCTCATTAAAAATGAGTATTAAGCTTTTTATCATTTATTGATTTAATCCCAATATGATTCACCTTGATAAAAACATATAATCCCTGTTTGGATTAAGGCTATGCATCAGTATAATATTATTACATATATAGATTGATAAGTAATTATTATACAGGGTGTTTAAAAACCAAATATGAGAAAAAATATAGTTTATGATGGATGACAAGAAACATTGAAAAGCCAAATGTGCCAGTATCTGGAGGAGTATAAGTTACTGTGCATTTTATTTTGAAATCAATCTAAGTAACGCCAGGAACAAATTTTCGGAAAGCTTTTTCCATATACTTCCGAAAATCCTTTGAATTTCGAAACTTGCTTTATCTCCAATTAACCGATATATTTTACGATTTCCAAGATCCCAATGCTGAGTGTAGGATTTGAAACATTCTGCATGATATTTGCATACAGTTGCAAGATTTAGACATTAGTACTGATCAACATATTTTAACCAAATATGTCCAAGAATGATCATGGATAATATCTATAACCACTTAATTCCCAGACATTGTGTAACTTGTAACACCTAAGATACTGTCAAACCTTTAGAAGTGAAATTTTTTCATTTTATGCCTGAAAAGAGAAATAGTTCCTCTCATAGACGAATATCTCTGGTTAATATAGAAACACTAACACATAAGTTTTCAAACCTTTTGTAGGAAGGAGTTCATCCATTTGGTAAAGGTTTTCTTCTGAATGTGTAGACGCTCCTCCTGCAGGACCCTGATACGGCCCTGCTCGAATTTTTGTACCTCATCTCGTTGACTCATGCTGGATCGTTTTTGGATGCCAAGCCCTGGTCTGGGCTCATAATGTACTGCGCCAACTGAAACAAGAACATCTCAGTCAACATACTGAATAATGTTTCAGATATATCTCCATCTCGAAACATCATAGTTACCAGTGGTTGCTGGTACGCGAAATGACCGACAGACTGATTTTTAGCGACCTAGAATCAAAATTTGATCAAAATCCAGCATGGACGAAGAGCAAAAATTAAAAAGAAAAATTATGGGATATCGAGCTCAATTTGACAAAAAGTTTTACTTTGTAAAAGTGACTGATTTGTAAATCAGCTTATAAGCTGTCTCGTAGCTGCAAAAGTATAGATCGTAAGTATGCTACGAGGTCTGTAAAGTAAGTGATGAGACTGATTTTTTATTTTTTAAAATTACACATTTTTATTATCACCCTCAAAATAACTTTCTTCGGAAGCAACACAGCGCTGGAGACGGTTCTTTCACTCCTCATAGCAGTGCTGGAACTCCGTACTGGAATAGCATTCAGCTTCGTGGTTCATCTTCAATCGACTGTCTCCCTTATGAAAATGCCTTAAAGTACCGAAAAACCTGGGCTCTTAGAAAAACACTATCACCGTAGCCCTGCTGAAATTTAGCAAGAATTTCCGTTGCACTGTGAACAATTCTGAAGCAAAACGTGATAGCACACCGTTGCTCAAAATTGTTGTCTCACATGTTTAGAACACAATAGAAAAAACTGTTTCACAAAAAAAATCTACCGACAATCAAATGACTCCAGCGAGTTCAAACTTGTACTGGAGGCGGATCACATGATCCCCTGTCTTCCCTCCACGTTCGGCGCCTCCAGTGTTGCTAGATCGAAGGCTACGTTGCCAGTTTTATCACTCAATTTCCAGACCTCGTATTCAGTGGCGGATATAGAGGGGGCGCCCCCCCCCCCCTAGACGTCTTTAGCTTTTGTAATCTAACACCATTGTGTTACTTTCTGATACATCATGGCGACAGAGGCATACTAACTAAAGTTACAGCTATAGAAACTGAGATTGCACTTAAAAAGTGGTTTATGTTCTGTTTGTTGCTCGATAGTGATTTGAACAGTGTGTACGTATTGACTGATTTTGTTCGGGGTTGGTGTTGCAGCGAAGCACTATGTTAGATGAACGCCTAAATTGGAAATAGACATTTATGAGATTTGTTTAGCGGTGCGCCTGTGGCCTGTCCAGAAAATGCGTCGATCGATGATCAAAGTCAATACCACACGTCCCGCATCTCTTCCCGCGTATGTGTCTACTTATGTTGCTATATTGCATTCGTTTAAATCACAGAGCTTCTGCACTACACTTGAATATTGAAGATTAACAACATTTTTACATACGATCAACACCGATTCGAAAACTGAGAAAACAACAACTATGCCGTAAATCTAAGTTCGACAACGAAAGTTTGAAGAATAACTGTAAGATCTATAATATTAAATTTCAAAAAATAATATTGACTACAACTATTTATATTTTTATCACCTGCTGATATAATTGAAGTGCTTGATTGTGTCAGAATTTGCAGCAATTACTTGATTTTTTTAATGGGCTGTTCATAGTCTTAATCCTCAAGCTTAGTACACACTAGTATACCCCGTTGCACAATTTGTCTATAGACATCCTTTTATCGTCTCATATTCGTTTTCGCCATCAAAAACATTTTTTTGTGTGGATTGGACTGGGCTATGTCTCGGGGTCCCTCAGAATGTTTCCGGTTGACAGAGCAATGAAGTTTTTTATGCTTTAATCTTTCATATTATTACACTAGTTAATTATAAATGCCACATAATTATTTCGTTTTCATAAATAATAAAATATTGAGTTATTGAAGATTTTGAGCATTTTCCATGTTTTTTCTTTCAAGCTGGCATTGACCAGATAGAACACAATGGATTTAAGGAGCAATAATAGGATAAATTCTAGATGTTTCACTGAGGTTGAAAAATTGCAGCCCCAAATATCGTTTGCGACAACCTCCCCCCCCAGTCGAAATCCTAAATCCGCCCTTGTCGTAAATCAAAATTACTTCTTCATTGGAAAAGGTGTTTCAGGATATACTCAAACACGCATTTATGTATGTTTAAGTTGACACTAAATTATAAATCACCGTGTAGAAAACTGTAGGTTCTCTCCAACTAGTTTTCTTTTTAAATATCTTTCAAAATAGTGTAACATTTGAGGCACATTAAAAACTTTTCATAACATATTACCCGTGCTAATATTTATAAAACCACACGCAAATATTAGTATGCATAATCATTGCGCTCATGGTATCATTAAGACAATAGAAAAACCTCATGGTACACGAACCATAATAATAAAATGCAAGAAGAACGTGTTCGAATGCATACACCAATGGGCGTGTTATACAGTTATCATTCCAGCTGTAAATGTGTCTGTGACATACTGGCAAGGACAGCGAACATGACATTTTGATTGCTTTGGCGTTACAATAGTAATACAGTGGAGAAGGCAGATAATGTGGCGGATCGTCAATAAAATTTATAACATTTCCGCTTTGTTTGGAAGATATATCAATGTTACACCGAATGGATCGAACGCAGTGCTGTTACGGATTTGAATGTCCAAGATCAGGAACCTATCTATGGGAATCACAACACCTCTGGGAGATACAGATTATGTTGAATTGGGAAAAAGTTGCGTCCTTGGGGCGTATCTACATGTAGGTGAGACCCTGTAAAAATTTGACAGCTTACTGAGATATTTGGAAAAAAAACAAAATTTGGCCAAATAATTTTTATTTTTACTGACTTTATTTTAAAAAACATCAAAAAACTGTTGAAACTTTTCCATTGGTACTTTTTAGGCACTACATGAGATGTTTTTGTGCTACAAAAATACTAAAAATGCTGCAGAAATATATCTTGATAAAATTCCCAAAAGAAGGCAGGAAAGCAAGTCCATTTTCTTAGAGTATGCTTGAAATTTAAATGAATATCGTTTATCCAAAAATTCTGTTACGTCTCGAAAAAATTAGCTTTTAGAGAAAACTCAAAATAGTCTTTCACAAGAAATTGCGGAGAGCTAGGCAAATTGAGGAAAATATAGAAGTAGCCAAATCCACATCCCAATTTATTTTGCTTAAGAACATATCGGCTGAACTATACTTTATAGCGCATGTCGCAAATATTTTATTTCTTATTTTAAAATGAAACATAAAGATGTAACTTGCACGAAAATATCATTTTTTCTTTAAGGAATCCTCTGCTTGGTATTTTATGGAACTACAAAATTGCATTTTGTATCGTAATACTGTGGTATAGAATACTGCTTTATAAGCTGTTTTTTTTTTCTTGTTTACACAAAAGATTGCTCAAAGTCATATGAATGTAGCATCCTCTGTAAATTACTGTGACACTGTTCATCGCAATAATGTATTTTTGTAGTAGTAATTTCTTTTATTTCAGATAAATACTCCCATCACTACACCGCCATCACTGTCATACTCTCTCCATCTAGTTGCGCTGTTGCCAAATCATGGATAGTAATATACCTTAATTTGGTTTGTCAAATTCTTACTTATATACTAGTGCAAAAATGTCCATTCGGCACAGGATTGTCATAAAAATGCGATTTCTAGGTGTGGCCGGCAGGTTTTTCTACTAAATCCACCACGTGGCCTACGATAGCGTTAGCTAAAGACACTTTTTTGAAGAATGCCTTATGCCCTTCACAAAATTACTTCAGTTATTGTTTTTGCTGTATTATAGTTACAATCTATTTACTTTTTGTATCTATGTACTTGAAGAATTATTTAAAGTGAAGCTGATGCCACAAAATATACCTAATTGAATGCGATATATATGAGAAATAACTGAAAAATCACTAAATAATGAAAACATAACAAATAACACTGCAAGTTTTTGGTCGATGATATGTTGGGTGCACCAGGCGAGGTGGTCCAAATCGAAGAATCGAAGTTGGGTATTTTTATATGCCTTTTGTATGTCACGCGAGCCGCTGGTGCATTTTCCACTGTTCAAACACATACTGTTCAAAATTTCATCTAGTTTTCGGTAAATATTGGGACAGCTTCTCATAGAACAAGTCGTTTACAATAAATTAAGCCTTTTATTTTGCAAATAACCTCATTTTTTATTACGCATTTCTCCCCAAAAAGGTACAACTTGTCAACAATGGACATCATTTATCTGTCAAGAAGTGAACGTTTTAAAATGGCCATTAAGAATTGTTTGTACTTTCAAATATTTCTTATTAACGCAAAACCTTTGATCTCATTGCAAATAACACAGTTTACCAAGTAAATACTATCACTTTAGTATATATTTTGAACTGTTATTTTAGCTAATAAGCTAATGTGTAATATCTTGGCTGTTTTTGACCTTTTTTGCAAAAAAAAACAATGATTTTTTCCAGTTTCACATTTATTTTCCTTAGTATTATACACTTTATGTTACATTCTTATAATTTACAGCATCCTTTTGTGCAAAAAACAAAAAATACAGCGTATGAAACAGTATTCTATTATAAAGTAATACCATCAAAAATGCTACTTTGAAGTTCTATAAAATAGCTAGCAGAGGGTTCCTTAAAAAAAAAATGATATTATGGTAAAAGTGACATCCTAATCTTTGATTGTAAAGTAAGAAATTAAGTATTCGCGATTTGCGCTAAAATATAGTCTTACCCAGATATCACCCCTATAAATTCAGCATTTGAGTTTTGATTACAGTAGATAATATTTTAGTGAAATAGCACAAATATCAAGCCACAGTCAAACATCTTCCTGTATCTGTCGCGAAATCAAAAAATGTAAAATTCTCTTCCTATAATAAACCCCAGCTTTTATTCTAGGGATATAGATTTCTAAAGTTTCGAGACACAGAGAAGAAGAATACCTTTACAGTTAAGCCGTAATATTTTTAAATCATCGCCTGTTTCAGGTGGGTCGGGAATTAATTTTTATTCCTAGAACACCATGCCAAACCTGAGCCTTTTATTACCGGTCTAACTTCTATGGAAAGAAAATATTCAGATTTGAGAAAATCTGTGCTGACCCGCAAACATTGGCTTCATAAAAACTAGACATTTTTATAAATGAATCCCATTAGACCAACCAATT